TTATTTCCTAAAAAGGTTATTTAGAATCTTTCATTCTTTTTTATGTGTAACAGATTTAGCAAAGTACTTAGTTCTTTCTTGTCTATACTACAACTAGCCTTCTTTACCAGAGTCGGGTTTAGTTTGTCAGCTGGCTCTCTGGGTGTTTCTTGGGAAGTGATTGGAGTATCTGTGAAAGGTTATCATTTGGATCCTCCTTTTCCAAGTTGATACTTCTTTTTGTTTTTAATTTATTGGGATGACATTGGTTCACAAAATCATATTGGTTTCAAAAGTTGTTATTTCTTATGTCGTTTTCTCTTGCCTGTTACAAAACCCAGTGATATTTATATGCATCTCAGAATTTTATGGTTTCTAGTCATAAACCCTAAATATATTTACAAAAGAATAAATTGAATAGCCTACACTTCCATATTATAAATGTAATTAATTTAACAATGAAAAAGCTTAAATCGAAATATCCAAACACAGGGAAATTTTAAATCATTCTTTAGAGTGATAGGAATTTTGAGTTGAATAGAAAACCAAGAATGCAGCTCTAAACAATCAGAACATCATTGGTACTGCAGTATGGCAAACCTCTTGCACTGTAAAAAAGTTGTACATTAAGGTATATTGTGTTCATTACTAAGCTAGAGCATACAGTTATAAGACAAGTCAAGAATTTAGGTAAAGATTTTAAAAATCATGCCTAAAGGAAGCAGAAGGAAGAAAATAATTAAAGTAAAACACAAAAATTAGTCAATCAATTAGCAGAGAAACAGAATCCAAAAGCCATTTCTTTGAGAATTCCAATGAAATAAGTTTCTGATAACACAATACACAAAAAAGACAAATCCAAGTACACAATATTAGGAATGGAAACATAGTATAATAAACTAAGCTTAATTGCTCTAACTTTATAAAATTAAAAGTGTCATTAAAAAATCTATAAGATTTTTCTAGAAAAAAATCAAATTTTGAAAGTTGAATCAATAAACAGATGTTGTTTAAAAAGTGACAATTACTAATCAAAAATTTTTAAGGTAGTTCTTAGAAAGGCTAAAAACATTCTTTCAAATGTAAAAGGAACAGATAGATAATTCCTATGCTACAAAATCTTTTCCAAAATATTCAAAATGAAATAGCTTTCTACTTTATTTTGTAAAACTCCATAATCCTCATACCAGAAGCTGATAATGATAGCAAAAGAATTGTGTTTTCCAAGTACATTGTATTGGACATTAGTTAGATCCAAGATTTGTTAATAAAACAGTGGATTTAATGCCAAGTAAGTTTGAGACACATGCATCCCTTTTAGGAGATTGGCATTATACACAATCACAGTAAAGAACTTGAGAGATTCTGAAGTCATATGACAGTTATCTTTAGCTCAACCTGTTCCAAAATTATTCAAACACAGAACATATTTTACATCACATTTATTAATATTCAAATATGTTAATGTGCCTCTAATACCTGATTCAAAGTAGGTCCTCTTTAATATGTTTTTCCCCTTTTTCATTTTAAAACATCTTGTACATCACATTTATTAATATTCAAATGTGTTAGTGTGTCCCTAATACCTGATTCAAAGTAGGTCCTCTTTAATATGCTTTCCCCTCTCTTTTTCATTTTTATATTCATTTTAGTTTTTAATTACAGTTTATATTTAATATTTATTCTTTTTTCTAATGGTGAAATTTTATGGTTTCAACAGTAGATGGGGTCGATCTTAATCATAACCTTTCAGGCCTTTCCTAAATCTTAACTAAAAATGAAATATTATTATTCTTGACAATGTAAAAGTAAAGGTACAGCTAACAGAAAGAGGGAAGTGGACACAAGTTCGGACGCTCGGAGGCGAGAAAGGGAGCTCTGAGCACTTCGTTCTTCAAAGTGGGGAAACGCACGATGCTTTTCATGTTTATTGAATAGAAAATGGGTGGAGGTAATGAGGTGACATTTGAGGAACTCATACTAGTGACCTCACTATGTGCGGATAACAGGGACAAACAACAGAGGATGAGTAAGTGACATTTGTCATGCTCTATCAGAGTAGAGAGTCAGTAAACAGTGCCCAACGTTAATCAAGAAAATAGTATGTGCATATTATTTACAAATATAGAAGTAACCATCAGAAAATCTAACCAACCCAAATGGTTAGAAGCAATTGCTTTTGAGGAATAGCAGGAAGGTGGGGTGAAGGACTGTTACTTCTCATTTTAAATCATTTTGTACCATTTGATTTTTAAAACATGGGCATGTTTTAGTATGCTAAACCTTGTAATGGAGAGGTACAAAATTAACACTTAGGAAAATTAGAGGAAGACATTAAATTTGAATATAGATTAACAGGCATAATGTGCTTGTTGGAATCTGATAAACCTGTTTAAATCTTGGCTCTACTAACTACTAGAAATTGTTGACTTCGGACAAGTCAGTAAAACTCTGAGCCTCAGTTTCTTCCTCTGAAAATAACAGTAATTATACCTAACACATAAGGTTCTTTTGATCTTTGAAACTGAGATAATGTTTCTAGAGCACTCAGCACACATAAGGAAAGTGCTTAATAATGTTACATTTAATGGCTGCTATAAAACTTGAATTATGAAAGCAATTATTATTCCCAAGAATACGTTATAGTCAATTTATTCTTTCAATCTCCCTTTATGTATGCGTGTGTAAATATGTAATATTTAAGTGGAGATTTCTTAAATGCTAATGGTCACAAATGTTCTTCCAGCTGTTTTTAGAGGTTTCAGATTATTTGTTTTTATTACCTGCTTTAGAGGCAAAATGATGTAATGGAAGAACCCAGCATTAGTTCGACTGCCTCCACCTTGGGCAAATCATTTAGCCCAATTTAAGTCGCTCCGTTTATAAAATGATATTGCTGGGGCATTATTTGTCTGAAGGTTATAGTGAATCAGCTGTTCATTTGAGGTGCTTGTCGGCTCTAGGGGCCATGGTTGTAGAATAAGAAAATAAAGTGGCCCATTGAACATGGAGCAATTGTGGGATCCCACATGTCAGTCAAGGCCTGACCTCTAATGTTTGGCTCTGGGGCTGAGGGAATATTTTTGACCTCTGAAATGGGGCTTGGTTTGTTAAAAAAAAAAAAAAAATCATGTGCTTTCCTAGGCATAATAAGTCTGCTTGCTTCTGTCAGATAAATTTACTCATCTAAAATATCAAGGTTCCTTTTAGTAAATTCAATTCCCCACTAAATGATGCCCTCTTAGGCCACATGACTGAGTTTAGTTTATATAATTCCACTGTTGGATTAATGGTTATGCATAAAATATGCTTTCTTTTCATTGACATTCAGTGCTTTTATGAAAAAAAAATCATCAAATCATCCTTCAGGCCAATTTTTATTTTTTAAGTTATTCAGGAGTAAATTGGATAGGATTCTGTTTAGAAATTTACTTGCAAAGTAGTTATTTTTCAGGATATTGCTACAAAAAGCTTTGAAAAATAAAGAGGATGTGGGAGACAGGATGAGGAACTTGAATTTTAATTGCACCTCTACAAAGAAAACTCTTGACAAGTGCACTCACTCACCCATTCAGTAAATATTTGCTGTGGGTAAGACTGATGTTCAGATGACAAAAAGGATTCCTGCATGCAAGTTATTAGGGCAGCAGCAGGTCCGAAGTAGGCCTGCTGGAAACAAAACATAAGTCTATTTTCATCTTAAAAAATAGTAAAATATGAAAACAACCTTGCATCACTAATTAGGAGAAAGTGACAAAATTAATAAATATTTAAAGGAAATTTTCCACTCTCCATCCCCGAACTTTCCATCTCCAGTGTTTTCCGTTCATTTTCACAGGACTGGCACATAAAGCGAAAGTGAAAAGACCACAAGCCACTTGTTTGCATTATTTGATTCTCCCACTGTGTAAGGCTACTATGTTTTTGAGCTGGACCTTTTTGTTGGATTTGGGTGCCAGGACACACCTCAAAAAGACTCCTTGTTGGAAGTACCCTGTTTATTGTTCTGTTTGTTCTAAAGACTGCTTAGAATTGTACAATTCCAAGACTCTGCAGGGGTCAGCTCTATCTTAAGTCTGCTTTTCTTGGGAGGGCCAGGGCAGCAGTGATGGAGGAAGAAAAACGGTGCATAATAGAGCTGAAGGTTAAAGATGATGCACTGCTGTACCTACTACATCTGGTCAAAGAAGCACCAAGAAGCTAGCAAAGAGGGAATGCCTGGCTTGACTTTTTCAGTTGCAGAGAAACAAAGTGCCAACCCTGACCCTCTGCCCAAAAGTCCTTAGGTCCTGTGCCAGGTGCCAGGGAGGGCACCAAAAGGAACCATACCACCCAACCCATCATTCTGCATTCCTATGATAACACCTACATTTATTGTATACTTTCAGAAAGTCAACATTCAAAGACATGTTAGGACGACATCATGTGCATAAGGCTGGAGCTGCTTACATACATTAAAATATGGCCAGTATTGTATTTAACTTTATTTTTTAGTTCATTGAATTCATAGAAGGACACTAAAGCATATCGATATTAATCTTATTACTTTACAACCATGGTCACTTAAAATGTCACAGAAAGCAGATGTAATGAATGGTAGAAGAGCTAATAATTCAAAATTTGAATCCCCCAAGATCATTTGCCTCTATACATTTCTATATCAATTACTGTATTTCAAACGAAAGGAGAAGCTTAACATGAAATTTTCCTCCACATGTTCTTGCTCCATCCTAACATCAGCATTAAGGTGATATTTGAAGAAGCCAAAATGTCATTCAATTTTTAATAGTATTCTCTTCTCCTAGACAAGTGTTGCAATTTACAAATTACTTTACATATAGCTATTAGACTATAGGGACAATTGTTCTACTAGGGATATAGCTAATATATCAATGGGCATAAGGTAAAATTAAGCAGCATGTGTAAATAATTATTAAGGAATTTGTATATAAATTAAAAAGTTTAACCACATCATCTATATTTTCTATACTATGATTAATTATATTCATTATCAGGTGCATTATCTAATACCTAGGATAAAAAACAAAGTAGATATTTTTAGTAAGAATGAAGAATGTACACATCAATTAAAATTTGTTTGCAGAATTTCCAGAAAATAGAAAAGATGACTCAAGACATTTGTCTATAGCTGTGTTTCCTTGCCTGGCCAGCAGTTGGATTGTAGTAAATGATCACTTGTATAATTTTCCTTCCTGATTCTTGAAGTCACCATTGTTCTTTCTCTCTTGGTTCTGAAGATTCTATGTTTTGATACATAATTTTTCTTTAAAGTGAAAAGTACTACAATACTTAGGAAAATGGACATTATTCCCAGCAGCGTAGTTAGTCCCAGATATATGTGCCTAGAAGAAGAGAGAATCTGTCTTAATTACTGTAACTATGCAACTTTAAATAAAATTTGAAAGGAAGGTAATGATATCATTCAATAAATATCAATACCAATGAAATCCATCAATGTCAATAAAACTACCATGAGAACGGTTTCTTCAAGAATGATGATTCAGTGTGGCCATAAAAGGCCTTTCTCTGAACATTTGAGACTATTTAAGGCAGCATGCTCACATCAAGTAATTTTTTAGTAGTATCATCCTTTTCAGTGACTACTAATTTCATAATTATTTACATCCTCCCTGTAAATTATTTCTTTAGACCAGGTGACCATATCTCTGTTTACCAAGAACAGTGCCAGTTTTTGCTAGTAGGGGCCCCTTTCACTCTCAAAAGTGTCTAGGTTAGAATAGTAAATTATGTGGTTACCCTTGAACCTTACCCAAATTCGTTTCTGCAGAAAAACTGCAAGAAGCAATGTTCAGGGGAATCGGAGCTCTCAGTAGAACAGAATGACTTAAGAATAAACCAGAAGTTTTAATCAGTTTCTTCCATGAGAAGCCTTTAGTTCTACATCCTGTCCTCAGACAAGAGGGAATGGCAGGGCAGGCTGAACGATCCGTTCCGGTCACCTTGCACATGCATTCGGTCTGATTGCCGGAAACTGTTTTACGTGGAAGTGAATATAGCCTGAGCAAATGCGAGGAAAGCTAAATTCTACTCACAGCTCAGGTCCCTTTCAAAGACCAAAGTAAATTCTCACATAACATCAAAGGCTATTAAATCAAACAAACTTCTTTAAGAGGATTGGTTCAATTCACATCCAACTTCCAACTTACATGGCTCAGCACCAGGTTTCTTTCTTTAGAAAATGCTCAGATTGTAAATCTTAAAAAAAAAAAAACCCACAAAAAAACACAAAAGCCCTCTTGCTTTTAAGCCAGTGAAGCATTGCTTTAAGCATAAGGAGACTAAGTGTTTGATGAATTGAACCGAACGATGCCCTAGTGAAAAAGCCGTGACCCTCAGCCTCATACACACTCACACTCACAGAGAAAACTTTTTACTTTTATGCAGTTCAAGTACTGGAATAATTGAACATCAGTTTGGCAATAAAAGCCGGATAGATTTAGAGCCAAATCCAACTCTTGCCCAGGGGGATGATAGCTGACGTAAATGGGGCAGTTTGGCTCAGTTTGAAAAAGAATAGAAATAAACCCAAAATGTGACCTAAATTTAAATGCTTCCCTGAGTTTCAGGGAATTACTCATTTGCGTGCATAAACTTTAAGAATTCTATTCTATTCTGGAATCTTATGTCATATATATATTTTTAAAGATGACTCGTTAAAAATGCACGTTAAGATGAGAAATGGGGAAAATTTAAAGTATAGTCAAATAATTAAACGATAATGGAATTATTCTATAAAACAGAACACACTCCTTGATTAGAGTGTCCTTTTTCTTGCGAGCGGTGGAACTACACGAGGCGTCAGTAGTGCCAATCGCATTGTGCCAAGCTGGGACGTGACAGCAGTGAGATGTGGGAATGAGTAATGAGTTTCATACGGTACCTAAACGCATTTGAATCATATAATCTGCAGGATCCTCTACTTCCACATCTTTTAAATCCCCATTTGAGGCATGACGTATCAATCAAAACTCCAAAATAAACGGGAGCTGGGATGCCTGCTGTGAGAAAAACAAATAATTGCTTCTAAAAATATATGCACATCTTTCTGATTACCCTAAAATGAATGATTATCTGGAACCACTCACTTTCAGTCCCAAATTACTGCTTCAGAGATACCAGGCCATCTGTAGGAGACCAGAACTTGCCACCCCCAAACCTGCCCCTGGTATAAAGATTATTTTGAGTGGGTTATTTTGAGAAACAGGAGACATAGGAGAAGCTCTGAAGACAGAGCACAAGTTTTTTTGTTTTTAAAGGGAAATTTACATTTATAAGGAAATCTCCATTTATAAGGATGTCTCCCTCCCTCTGTACCAGAAAGATAAGGGCTCTAGATTCAAGAAAGAAGTAGTTGATTCTATTATGCATAAAATCCCATGAACAAGAAGAGCAATTAGTTAAATATATCTAACAGTCAGTTTGGATTATTTGGTGTCTTAAATAAAATTTCGCTCTTTGTACATATAGTGTCCAGCCATTTAAAAACATTCAGGTGACATCTAACTTCAATTGCTCTTGATAATGTGCAGAAAGGCCAAAAAAAAAAAAAAAAAAAAAAAATCTAAATGCTTACAAATTTCTATATATGTTTTAAAATGTTCATAAGGGCACATTTTCAAGCATTCACAACATTAGAGAGGATGATGTAATGAACCCTCATGTCCCATCCTAACTTCAGTGATGATTAATATTTTGTCATCTTGTGTCATCTATCTCCAGACCCACTCCTCTCCTGAACCCCAAAACTTTAAAAATATATATTTAAAGAGAAGTCTCAGACATCACGTCAGTTCCCTTATATGTTTTTCAGTATGTCTCTGATGACATTATAAAGCATACTATTATGCCATTCAACACATTTTATAGTAACTCCTTAATCTTATCAGAAATTCATATTCCTATTAAGAGACATTAAGTCAGATCAGACAGAGACAGACAAATACTGTGGAATCTAAAATCAGCAAAAACAAACAACAAACTCATAGAAAAAGAGATGAGACTTATGGCTATTAGAGGTGAAGGGGAGGATTTATTTCCCCAGTTTTATCAGGACTATATTGCCTCTTCATACACTATACCCATTTTATGTCAAGATTTATGTAAACTAAAAAAACAGATGTTTTAAAGCTCTGAGTTTATTTTTCTCTCCAGTAATTCTTTTCTGTTAAATTACAGAGCAACATTATGATTGTTTTACTTTCTTCTTTAGAATATAAACTTATTAAGCACAGAAAACTTATCTGACTCATGCTATTTCCTATGGGTTTTAATTAATGCATACTGAAAAATCTGGTAGTCAGAAAAAAATTCCAGTTGCATTTAAAAAATTATCAACTCAAATCCATACTGCTTTTTTCTTTCTTTTTTGTCATACAGCTATTTTATTTTTTATTTCATTTTTTTGTTTATTGTTGAGAATATTTCAGATGTCTCCCCCCTTTTTTCCCATTGCCCTCCTCCACATGCATCCTGCCATGCCCAGGCCTTCACCACCCTATTGTCTGTGTCCATGGGCAATGCATACATGCATATATATTCTTTGGTTAATCTCTTTTTGTCCCCCCACACCACCCTTCCCTCTGAGATGTCAGTCTGTTCCATGTTTCCATGCCTCTGGTTCAATTTTATTCATCAGTTTATTTTATTCATTAGATTCCACATATACTTTAGATCATGTGATATTTTTCTTTCTCTGACTGGCTTATTTTACTTAGCACAATACTCTCCAGGTCCCTCCATGTTGTCTCAAAGCATAACAGATCCTTCTTTTTTATAGCTGCATAGTATTCCATTATGTATATGTACCACAGTTTTTTTATCTACTCATCTACTGATGGGCACTTGGGTTATTTCCAGATTTTAGTTATTGTAAATAATGCTGCTATGAACATGAACATAGGGGTGTATAATATATCCTTTCTGGTTGGCATATATTCTACAAATACTAAAATACCAACCAGAAAGCCATACTGCTTTGAATGAATTATTTGACCTTTTACCAGGATGATATAGCATTGAGAGTAGCTCAAAATAATTCATTCCATTTCAATAACTGAAAAAATATATATATTTAGGCTTTAGCCTTTGTTATCAATTCATATTTCTGCTTTTCTCTCAGAGGGCTCTTCTATAATAGTAATAGATTTTTTGACAATAGCCCAATGCTTGAAAGAGACAAGATTGCTGAACAAAAAATGTCATCACTTTCACAAATTTGTTTTATTATAACATGGGCCCAGCACTGGTTCTCAATAGATATCTCTGAAACAAAGGAAGAGAGAAATCAAGGAAAGGAAGAAGGGAGGGGAGAAATAAAGGAAGAAAGAAAATAAAAAGAATAGGCACCTAACCACCTACATCATTTAGTTATGCATAATAATTCTGTAAAAATATTTAGAAAAATATTGCAAATGTACTTTTGATGGCTACCATACTTAAAACATAGATTATACTTACCAAAAACTCTTATTGCTAAGGTGTAGATACCCAGGGCAAATGACTTAAGTTGTGGCTTAATGCACCTGAAAACAACAAAAGCAATATTACAAATATATGTGTATATTCCATTAAAGCAAATAGTAATTTCACTGATAATCTACTTAACACATGTGAAGTGATGTTAGATTGCAAGTAGCATTTATGGAGATCCCACTAGTGTCCTAGCATAGGAAAGGCAAATTATATAAAATTAAAGGCAATGCATCAAGGGTTTATAGTTAACATTCCTAGAAGGTAAATCAACCCTACATGACATATTTAAATGGTGTTGGGTACAGTAAAATCATGTTTAATTAGCAAAATAACAACGACACAGGGAAAACCCCTGCAAATTTCTAAGATATTGCAAGAATCTGCAGCAACAATAAAGAATTAATAACCTATAACTAGTACTGTAGTTTTGTTCTAAAAGCACAGGACCATATTTATCTGGGTTGATAAAATCACAATCACTGTGGCATGTAAGTATTTTTGCTAAATAGTGGACACCTGAATTTTCCAACCAAGTTCAAGAATACTTAAAATAACAAGAGTATCCTAATATGACTGAATAGCTTTAGCCGATTGGTCTGTGGCTTTCAATAGTAATACAAATGATGATATATAACAACTATTGAGTCTTAATCATGGTTCTAAGTTCTTTATATGTATACTTTTATTTAGTCTCTGCTTTAAAAGAGGCAAAACTGTGCCCTGGCTGGTTTGGCTCAGCGATTGGAGCGTTGGCCTGCGGACCAGAGAGTCCCTGGTTCAGTCCCTGTTAGGGGCACGTACCAAAAAAAAAAAAGAAAAGAGGCAAAACTAACAACTTTTCTTCTTCAATCCAAGGACATCCATCTTCTTCTGACGTCAAAATACAGCATGGTTAATTTGAGGAACTGGTGGTGAGGAAAACTCTTCCTCTAGTAGCCTGATTATTCATTTGGCTCATTAACTACTTGGCAAAGTATAAGAAGATGTTGAAGAAATAACCGTCCATAAAGAACAATCCTGGCCTAAAAACTCTGGGTCAATGATTTCCCATCTTTTCAAACCTACACTCCCATTTGAAGATGCAACTATCTCATGCTGTCCTTAAATCCTTTTCCAAAAAACAGATTTGTGGATATTAGGTCCTATTTTCTGTTCATCTTTCATAATAAATATTTCCATAATATAAACTACAAGAAATTAAATATGTATGTAATACTTTTCATGAGTTTTATTTTAGAAAAACTTAATATTCATTCTTCAATATATTAATTTAAAAATCACCTAATCCATCTCATTAAAGATTGGTTTCCAATAAAATTTGATTTTTGTTTAATAATTGTATAAGAATTTGTAATATTTTATGTAACTTTGATTAATTGTGTTTTAGTAGTTTTGCAGGGCTAATTCAATTAGAAATAAAATTTTATCACAGATAATGGTTAAAAACATTTTGAAATTTTAATTTATGTACATTATTATGGAGCTCTATGAAAGAAGAGTTAATAAGAGTTTAAGTATAAATTATATTACAACAGAAGGAAAGTCTATAGGGAAGTTGAATAAAGATATAAGTTTAAGGAGAAGAAAGAAATATGTAATATTTTGACTATTAAATATTTTTATATGATTTTAAATTAGGTGATATTTGTTATCTAATCACTGGGTTTTTAAGATTCCATTGGTTACATTTAAGAGTGACCCATGTTTAACATCACTGTGTTTTAAAATAAAAATACGTATAATATACTAGAAATCAATGCTTAGTTACTATTTAAACTTATAATAAATTTTTAGATGTCTACTTGAAATATGCAAAGGAGTACACAGTATTGAAAATTCTTTGATGATTTTATAAGCAAAAATATTTGGAGTCATTAACACCATATTCCTAGATTAGGATCCTCAATTGATCCAAAAGCCATTAACACCACCCCTCAGTATGTGCGTGCACACACACACACACACACACACACAGATAATTCCAGTAAGAGCAATAATATATATAAAGTTATATCCTACATATCAAAGTAATGAATGCAAAACACTGAAGTATTAGGTAAACTTTCACAGAGTCTTATAAAGTGTATCATCCATAATTCAGTGAAACCATGTTTAATCTAAAACACATTCAGTCTATACTGGTTAATATCACCAGCATTAGAAAGAGCATTCTGGATTTATTGAGTGGCTACAGTGAGTAGCTAACATTTCTTTCTAGACCAATGGTTTGCAAAGACTTTTCACTAGAAGAACTTCTAGTCAACCACATTTTTGTATAGAATCCTAATGTGGAAAAGTATCAAAGTGGAAAGAGGATGTAGGATGCATGTCCTGAGAGAGCTATAAAAAATTGTGATGAGTCCACTGCTCTGGATGACTATAGCATGTCTTATATTAAAATTGGGGAAGAAGAGTTGGTGTTCACCTCAGAAGCAATATGTATCCAGGTATGCCACCTAGAGATAAAGTATAGGATGTGATGACTGATATTACAAGGAAATACAGAAACATTTTGGGACATTCATTATCTTTTTGGCATCTGCCCACCATGCCTGAGGAATTTCCTGACATCAAGGTAGCAATTCCCACACAGGTGCAGTTATGAAATATCTGTAACAAGATAGGAAAAAGTCCAATTACTAAAGTGAAATTTAAATAAAATTAAAGATAAATATTTATTTCAAAGACTTTACAGAATAGTATACATGCAATATGTAAACAGTAGGAAAATATTCTTTTCTTTTTCTGTGTTAGCATATATTGAACAAAGCAAAATTTATAGAGAGAACATTTAATTATCCAAAGAGCTGATGGCTGTCATAAAAACTAATAATCCCACAGAACAATTTCTCAGCAAATCCTACCAAATGCAATTGTACCTTGTCTCCTTCTCTGCCACTTCCAAGTCTAAACCATCATTATTTCTTGCCTTGATTATCTCAATGATCTTTTTATGCTCAACTTCTTTGCACTCTTATCCAGCTCTTGTGTTTTCCACACAGTAACCAAAGTAAGCCTCTAAAAATGGCATTCAGATTGCATCATTGTTCTTAACCTTCCAATGGCTTCATACTATACTTGTATAAAAATCCCAAATTCTAAAAGTGGTTTATGCACTACGATGTAGCCCCTGGGTCCCACGCAGAACTGACTGCTCAGTGATTTTCCCCTCTTCTCCTGCTTCAGCCACACACATGGGTTCCCATCATGCTCACACCAATCCTCAGGCATGGCGAGTTAACCCAGGCCTAATGGCCTTGGTGTTTTCTGTGCTAGGCAGCCCTTCTGGGTAGCTACATGGCTGGTATACATACACACTTCAGGTCCCTGCTCAGATGTTTCGTTAAAGAGAGCTTCCATGGTGACCCGTTCAAAATAACACCCCATGTCTCCACCCTTTTAGCCTAACTTCTCTTCCCCTCATAGTGCTTATTGCTACCTATCAGAATATTATATAATCATTTACTTTTAAACTATATGTCTTCACCAGCTTGTAACCTCCAGCAGTAACTGTCTGCTGTATCATCATTATACATCCATAGCCTAAAATGGACTTTTGTTTTAAGCACTAAATAAAAAATATTAAATAAATGGGCAAAATCTGAGGCTATGACATAATTTATAGTGATTACTGGGAAAACAATACAGTATCCCAATGACTAAAATTCTACTGAATCTTAGAGAGGCGACTTGAATAATCACTCATCAGTTTATTTCTGTAAATTTTATGTATGGATGTGTATAAGTTGTCATTTTTGTCACAGAAAAGTTTGTGAATTTTTGGATAAACAGTGAAATAAAGGTGACATTTCCTTTTCAAGAAAGAGTAGCAATAGAGAGGACACTTTTCCATATTTTGTCCAGATAGAGTGGGAGGGAGAGAGAGAGAGAGAAATATCGATGTTCAAGGGACACATTGAGTGGTCGCCACCCACACGACCCAACCAGGGCCGGGGACAAACTGCAACCGAGGTACGTGCCCTTAGCGGGAACCGAACCCGGGTCTCTCTGGACCGCAGGCCAATGCTCTAACCGCTGAGATAAACCAGCCAGGGCTAGAGATTTATTTTTAATGTCAGGTAAAAAGATTTTGAATCTTGACTCTGTCTCTCACTAGACAAATGAATTTTAAGTGTTTCTTGTATTTCAGTGCCCAAGGAAAACAAATAAAATAAAATAATTCCTGTTTACTTGAGGATTGTTTTTAAAACACCTCTTTTAGTCCCTGGCATGCAATGTCTTGACTAAATGAAGCTCTAGTTAAGAAACTTCTTTTGCTGAAGCAGTTTGAGCAAAAGAGTAGTGGCTAAAGAAAAAAAATAAATAAAAAGAAAGGAATGAAGGATGAAAAGGGAGGGAAGGGAAAACAGATTTCAGATGGGTGGGTAGTCTTATTCACTGTTGTTGGAAACCAATCCTTTCTGTTTTGAATAAAATGTCAAAATAGCCATAAACAGAGAGAAAATAAATGTGCTATGCTGTATCTGCAGCCGTGTTTGCCTAAGCATTCTTATATTGTTGATAAGCATGTGTAAATATATGTGTGTTTAATTTTCAGCCTTCTAGGACTGTTAAATACAGTCAGACCTGGTCAGCCAAAAGCACAAAGCAGTCTGACCACTGTGCAGTCTGCACAGTGAATATGAGGAAGAGTCTATGTTTGAGACAGGAATGTAAAGGTGTGAGTAAAGGGATGAATCTGTTGATAATGATGTACATAATATCTTTCACAATTGTTTTTTTTATCTATATTTCCCATTTTATCTTCTTCCATCCTAGAGAACACTTCATTCCAGTCACCAACTCCTTATTCCACAACCGGCTCATTTCTCAGGAAGAATAGTCCCAGAACCATCAACCTTCTCAAAGACAGATTCCAGACCCCTGGGTTTGAACCTCTTGGGCTGGACTTCCTACCACAGGCCTCTATTGGTCCTGTCCCTAAGACCACTGGTCTTGAGGTCAGCAGATATGGATTCCAATACAGAATTTATTATATGATCTTATGACAGACTTTTACATTCAAGGTTAATATTCCTTAAAAGCAAAATGAGAGAATTAGACTACATATCTGCAAAGCCCCATTTCTTGATTCTAGTTTTTTCAACCATTCTAGTTTCTCTAACAATGATTGTATTTCCTGTCTCCACACATAAAACAAGAGCAAAGTAAAAGCCAGAGTTCCCACCAGTGTGTTCTGATGCTGGGTTGGCCCCTGAGAGCCCCCCCCCCCCGAGTTATAAAATTATGGATTGTCGCAGGCCCAGGGGTACACACTTTAGAGAATATTTCTTACAATAGTTTTCCCACTCCGGGTGGAGCTTTGACAACCAGCAAGACAAGCTGATGTGTATGTGATTCCATTTTCACCACACATGGGCTCCCATTCTGTCTCTGAACATTTGCATCTTGAGTTGCAATCTGAAAAGAGAGCTCGTTCATGAGAAGAGACAGGCTTGGTTCTGAAAAGAAATGTAACAGTATAAAATATTACCTCTTAGCAGGGAGTACTAATATTAAAAGAATAGATCAATGTCTTGAGTGACATAAATGGCACTGCCAACAAGGCTTGCCTTTGGAAACACAACTGTCATCAGATATATCAGCTTCTGGTCATTAATTGTTACTCCATCCACTATTAACAGCATTCTCTTGAAAGTTATCTACGGAGGTTTTGAACTTTGTATTAATATCTAGTTCTTGGCTTATGGTTTTTATTAATGTCTATTGCCTCTAGAATCTTCCAATATATTTCTATGCAAAGATGTATTAAAATGTCTAACAAGGCAGAAAAGTAAACTTTTAGAGCGATTTATGACATTACTTAAATGCAATACAAGCAGAGTGTGTGTAAATTTCCTTCAGAGTTGTTTAAACATCAATAGATTGGCATTGCTAATGGTTTGGAGAAGAAAAATAGAGCCAAGCAGTCAATGTTTCAACAGAATTTGACATCTGTAGGAGCTACACATCCTATTAGGGTATGTCTGACTAATAAATGCATTGTCAGTATATCTAACTTTCCTCTCTCCCACATATCTTCCCACTGTTTGGAGTTCTTCCATATCCTTTGACTTTATTTCACATGCTTTTTAAATGACTTACTCATTCATTAATTCATTACAAATTTTTCAAAAGCTTTGTAAATACTTGTTTTGGGAGAAGATGGTTACAAATATGGATGAGACAATATCTGCCTTCAAAAAGCTGGCTTTTAAAAACAGTTAATATTATCTTATTTTGATTGTTTTCTCTCGCTCTCTTTTGTTCTCTCTCATTCATTGTATTTTCTCCCTCCATCTCTCCCAGGAATCCTTCTCCCTCACATCTATTTCTGCTTTTCACCTGGATCACCTCATCTTTCTATGCTTATTCTCCTTACACCATTCCTATATCTTTACTCTTCTAAGGGTATACTTAAACGATGATATGTCTCTTCTATCTGATCCTTAATTTCTATCCATTTGCCCTTTATAATTCATTTTTTCCTCTCTCATTTCGAATTTATTTATTTGCTTAATCTCTTCCGCCCATTTTGTTTTTTACAAAAAAACACCCCAAAAATCAGAAATGTAAAAAACCATACACTGTCATATACTCTAGGTGAAAACAGAAACTATTTGTTTTATTCGCTTCTGTATTGCCAGCCCCCCAAACACAGTAGGCTATGAAACAAGATTTTGACAAGTTAATCAGAGAAAAGTGGTACTTTTTTTTGAAAAAGAATCAGTCATTTTGATTCATCAATCTAAGAGGTATTTTCTATAATAATAGCAATCATAATTTAATCGATGTACTATTCTAATATTTCAAACGTAAACAGACCTCTGAGATGTCTCTAAGCAAAATGAAATGGTATTTAACCAGATCTCCTGAGAAGTCATATAGGAATTTTTCATTGTAGTCTCTTCCATAAGGCATTAACTGTTAACTGAGACTATTTGGTAGTATCTGAAAGTATAAAGATGTGCCTTTGAAAGCCTAGAATCAGGGCACCGTGGATACTGTAGGGCTAAGACCAGGGAAGGTTGGAGTTAAAAGGACTCTGGGTGTGATCCAGGACAATCTTATTTGGCAGATCAAGAAAGTCAGGTCCACAGTGAGCAGATAATTTGCTCAAATTCACAAGGTTTATTAGTGACAAGTTATTACCCTTACATGTCTCTGGATTCTAAATTCTTGTCTCACATCAGACTTATTCTCATTATTGCAGAAGAAAGCTTTCATCCACTACCTCATCCAAAGCTTCTGCACAGTGTTCCCGTTGAAAGTCCAGAACCAAAACAGAGTAATCCTTGCGGAGCAGGCTGTATTTTATGAAGCCAGTTATCTTATATTAATGAAGGTAAGTTAAATTTATTATCCAGGGCAATCTGGAGGCAGAGACTAATTGAATACATGTTTTATGAAGGATATGTGGACACTAGAGATGTTTAAAATGACAGTTATGAGTTTTATCAAATATGCCAGAATGTTTATATTCAAATGAAATTTTTCTTTCAAAATAGTCAAGCTGATGTTGCCATTTTTTTCCAGCTGCTTCCAGTAGCAAAGCTACTCTTAAAGGCTAACACTTTGTCATTGTTGAGAATATTTTAGAAAGCAAAAGAGGAGTTTTAGAATGTTTTAAACAATGATAGCAGTATTACAATGCAGTTATAGTATTTCAGGGTGAGCACTTTTTGGAGCAAGTATTCATTCAATAAATATATTTTATTAATTAAAATATTGATACTTTACTATAAATATTTTATAATAGAATATTATACTTTTAATGTGAACTTCAAAAGTTTTTTTTGCTCTTGTCTGTTTACGTATTTACTTTTGTCTTAGAGATAGCATGACGTTGTAGAAAGAGTATTATAGTTTGAGGAAGCTAACTCATTTTTCTTTTTTAAAAAATATGTTCTTATTGATTTTTTAGAGAGAGGAAGGGAGAGTGGGAGAGAGAGAGAAAAATTGATGTGAGAGATAAAACATCAATTGGCTTCTTCCTGCACACCCCCTACTGGGGATCGAGCCCACAACCTGGGCATGTGTCCTGACCAGGATTCAAACCAAGACCTCTTAGTCCATGGGAGGATGATCAATCCACTGAGCCACCCCAGCCGGGTGCAAACTAATTTTTCTAAACTCACTTTTCTTTAAACAAGGATAACAAACTTTACCTCATAAAGGTGTTCTGATGATACGAGGGAGATAATGAAATCTAACATGTTTTATAAACTGCAAAATACAAAGTACTTTATCACTGTCCATCTACCATGATGAATATAGAGATAGCTAAAGATAGCACACAGCTTCTACTCTCTCCAGAACCTTCTTGAAATTCCTGTTACTAAGGCAAAGCTACATTCAGGTAAGTCTAACATCACTGTAATAACTTCAGAAGCATGGTATATGAACTGTGCATTCATTGATTTTCCTGGACGTTTTAGATAACAAAAGTATAACTGATGTTCACTTAACAACAGCAGAAACCAAGTCAATGATGAAGACCGGACTATGGAGACAAGACAGATATGCTTGGAAGAAAGCATAGGAAGGGAGCTGGAAAGCAAGCAGTAAGCAAGAAGCAGCTGAGCCAGCAGTACAGAAGGTAATGTCAGGGGTGTTGACCTTTGAGCCACAGGTACTTCCAGTCAGACAGGCAGATGCAATCAGGGAGCTCAGCATGGCATACAGGAATGGTTCGATATTTTTTTAAAACCAGTATTGTAGAGTTAGGTGGATGGATATAAAGAAATGACTGTGGAAGCTCATGTTCAGAGACAGAGTGATTGCAAGCACTCTTGAAGGGAAAGGGCAAAATAGTTTCTTTATGATGCAACCTTATATTAAAGGTGATAGATTCCACTTTTGGGTATTTATCTGAAGGGAAAAAAAAACAACAAACACATATTGGAAAAGAGATAAGCACCCCTATGTGTATAGCAACATTATTTACAATAGCCAAGCTTCGGAAGCAACCTACATAGTCATCGACAGATGAATGAATAAATGAATAAAGAAGATGTGATAATATCTAATGGGATATTACTCAGCAATATAAAAGGATGAAATCTTGCCACGTGCAAGAACATGGATGAAACTAGAGGGTATAATGCTAAGTGAAATGAGTCAGACAGAGAAAGACAAGTACTGTATGATTTTATTTATATGTGGAATCTAAAAAAAAAACAAAACAAAAAACCCCCAAAACAAACAAAAGAACAAACAAAACAGAAATAGACTCCTAGATACAGAGAACAAACTGAGGTTGCCACAGGGGAGGGAGGTGGGGTCATGCGTGAAAAAGGTGAAAGGGAATAAAATGTACAAATTTCTAATTTTAAAATAAAAAGTCACAGAGATGTAATGTACAGCACAGGTAATATAATCAATAATATAACTGTGTTTGGGTGACAGATGGTTACTAGATTTACCATGATGATCAAATCATAAGGTATATAAATGTTGAATCACTATGTTATACACCTGAAAACATGGAATATTGTATGTTAAGTATACTTTAATTTAAAAAATGAGTGATAGCCCTGGCTAGATGGCCCAGTTAGTTGAGCATCATCCCTTGCACCAAAAGGTTGCCAGTTTGATTCCTTCCTGGTCAGGGCACATGCCTAGGTTCCGGGCTCCATCCCTGGTGGGGAGCATGCAGGAGGCAGCTGATCAGTGTTCTGCTCTTACATTGATGTTACTCTCTCTCTATTCTCCTCCCTTTCTCTCTCTCTAAAAATCAATACTAATTTCAAAAAATTAAAAATAATAAAATTTAAAAAAGAGTGATAGACTCTGTTAACCAAGAAACCTAATCACCCACCCATAGGGATGGTATAGGTCGGAAAATATCAATAAATATTCTTTGAGCCAACTGCAAAGAGTTAAAGAGAACTGTGATGTGGGTCACTGGGTCAAGGAATAGAATTTTCTCCTGAAACTGCACCTGATTTAAACACAACAGAGACCTCAAAGGGTGGCATAGAGACATTCCTAGTTACTTAGGTGTTCAAGGAAAAAAAAATACAATTTTTTCCATGAATGGCATATAAATTTTGTGCCAGGGAGTATTAATCACTTTCATACATGTTATCTTGCTTAAGTGTTACAAAACCTTAAAAGGCAGTTATTATTTCTATTTTTAAATGAGAACATTGAAATTGGACTATATTGATTAACCCATACCATATCTCTTCACTAAGAATGGGAAGAGGCAAGATTCAAGGTTTGTATTTTCCACTATCAGGTTGCTGCCCTAAAGTAAGGTATAGGTTTAGCATTTTTTAAAATAATGTCTTTATTGACTTTTTAGAGAGCAAGGAAGTGAGAGAGAGACAGAAACATTGATGTGAGATATAAACAGCGATTGGCTGTCTCCTGCCTGCCACCTACTGGGGATGGAGCCTGAAACCTGGGCATCTGCTCTGGCTGGAGATCGAACTGGGACCTCTCAGTCTATGGGATGATGCTCAGTCCACTGAGCCACATGGTTGGGCTAGGTTTAGCATTTTTAGTATTTCTTTAAAACATTAAAATTCAAAAGAGATGACAGATTTTGGTGACAATGACAGCTTTCATGTAATAAATACCATCAGCTATTCTACAATGGAACAATTATTCCCTTACCATAGCTATGATAGCTAATAATAAAATTATGTTATTGTGAAGCTCTACAAAAATTAAATCTGATTATGCAAGCCAATCTCTTCAGATTATTTCATGAGCAAACATACCCTTGGTAGGAGACAGTTAGTCCTGCCACATCAGAATTTTCACAGCCCAATGCAAACAGAGAAAGGAATAGAAGGTACCCAACGACAGATGATCCCAAGTAGATTTTTGCAGCTCCGCATACACTGATTTTGAATTTTTTCATTACTATCCCTCCAGAGAATATTCCAAGGGCTACTGCTGGTATGTTGATGAGTCCTGAAGAACAAGAAAAATATATCATTTTGTGAATCTCCGGAAGAAATCTGAGTACACTCACACAAACTTTCTAAGGGATTATACAAAACTATGCAATAGTTCATGGTATACTATTAGACTACTATGTCATTTTATGTTACAGAGGTATTCATTCACTATCATCTACTGATACATAACAAGAGATTTTAATGGACGCCTAGATTATAGTTTAATGATAGCACAACCGACAGTCTCAGAGTTCTGACGGCACAATATCTAGCATAGGGTTTGAAATCTATTACCACTGCATGCATCAGTGAATCAGTGTGTTTCTGGTCCAGTCTCAGGACTCACAAGTACAGTCAAGTGGCAGTTTGGTCATTGTTAATGTTCTCTAAGGTTGTACATAAAAAATAATATGCACAGGGACTGGGAGGAGTTGTTTTTTGTTTTTTATTTAAAGGTCTTTGTTCTATTCTCTGGTTCCCTCTGTAAAATATTTTTTTGAGAACCCAACTCTTAGCCTTTTAATTCTGTATCCTTCCTAACAAAACAATGTATATTTGACTACTTTTATATTTGTTATTTGTTTATGACGTACCAGCCACTCAGCTAAGCATTTGATATATTATCTATCACACTTACTCTTCACCACAGCCTTAGAAGGTGGGAATATTCTTCTTCTCACTTCAGAGAGCAATTTGTTTGTGGTCATGATGACTATAGGGAATCCGATGTCAAGTCCTATGTTTTCAATCACTATGTTATACTGCCTGTCCTTCAAAAAGTTTAGGAGATAGTATTCTTTTCTTTTCTTTTCTTTTTTTTTAAAAACATCTTAGACTTATTAGATTTCTGGTTTGTTTGTTTTTTACATTGATTCCCTCTTCCTCTCCATGTGGTTTCAACAAATCCATTCCCCATCATTTTCCAGCAGAGATATATAACATGTACTTTCTTGATCAGTAGATGAGCAATCTTCTTAGTAATCAAGTAAATGTGGCTTAAAAATGACACTAGGAAGAGGTCTAACAAAGTGGCTGAAATCTTGGACTCTAGAGACCTAACTGCCTGGGTTTAGACCTCAGTTCTATAGTCTAACAGCTGTGTAAGTACAGGTGATTCTCTGAACTTCTCCAAAGCTGTCTGCTCATCTCTTTATAATATGTAGCTAATAGTAGTGATGAAATGACACGAAAAGTTCTTAGCACAATATCTTGCACAAAAATAGTATTCAATCAAGTCATTAGTAGTTCATTCAATCAGATTTACGAAGATTAAAATATTGTGATGGGGGAGTGGAATACCTCTATGTTTGAAATCAAACCTGGTGCTATGTTGGTTGGATTTTAAATTGAGAAATAATGCCAGAGAAGAGCAGTCTGGTGCTCAACAATAAGCCATTTCTCTGCTAATTAGAATTTATTTTTATATTTTCTACACATCAATCACTGATATCCACATTATTTTGAACTTTTGAGATAAGGATAGAAGCTTGTAGAAATCCTGGCCAACAAATAAGGTTCCAAAAGGAGCTCATTATCTGCTGTGCTATATGGTAATCACCAGTCTCCTGCCTCTGACTCACACACAGTCCAGTGTGACATCTTTCAATTAAAATTACAACCTCTGACATCATATTTTTCTCCCTTCCTTTTTCCATTTATATATCCAGTCTCCTAAATAATCTTCCTAGAATCTAAAATACCAAACACATAACAATCTTTGGCTATCACACTGCTTTATTTTTTAAATCTTTTCACCATGTATTAATAGATGAAGGCATTTTGTTGCATCTCTTATGATTTGACTATACATTAAGTTAACATTAAAATGATCACATTGGAAATCAACCCACCTTGAAGGGGCATGATCATAAAACTAGTGAAACTGAAAAAGAAATGCTAATTTGTTTCTCCGGCTGAACAGAGGTTTGTGGGTTTGGCAAGTGGCAGAGATGAGCATACACTGGGCCCCTCAAGAGCCAGAAATAGGCGAAGAGGCAGCTGTTTACGTTTTTTTTTGTTTTTGTTTTTTAAAGAGAGCAGATATTAAAAAATAATACAACAAACCTGGTTACTCATGACCCAAGTTAATAAATGCCAATTCTTTCTCCCAATTTTTCTGATTGTTTAAATAGCAAGTTTATAAAGCTGATTCTCCCTCTGTTCCAGGGTCTGTCTTCCTTCCCAAGAATTAAGTGCTGTCATGATTTGCTGTGTAACAGTGAAGTCCCTATTTTCACACATACATAGCACTTGACTTTGAAATATATCCCACAGACCCAATATGGACATGAAGAGCATGCAGAATTTTATTCTCTCTCTCTCTCAATTTTATTTCACAAAAGAGGTTTATGGAAAAAAATACCTTCTGAAAACCAGGCTCTGAATGAAAACCTTCAGAGAATATGCTTATTATTTTATTATTTTGCAAAGTAAAAATCAAATCTGGGACATGAGGAGTCATAGCACTAAGAATACCTATTGTAGCCCCATGATGGCTCTGCATTCCATTGGCCTTTCCCTCCCCCATCTGACTTAGAAGAGCCAGAGACTCTAAATGGGATTATTCTCAGGGCATTTCTCTCTCAGTATGGATAGTTAAAAGTCAGGACTGTCCTCTCTTAACTGACCTCCTTTTGGAGGCCTGTGTTCTCTTGAAAATTCTAGAAAATTTCATGCATTCTCTGCCTCTAGGTCCTTCTGCACAAAATATTTACTTTGTCTGATACAACATCCTTCCAAAACATCACTGCTCTTCCCATACTTTCATCTTCTAACACCCTTTTATACTATTGCTCTTGACTTAGTTATCAACACCTTCTCTTAGAGATGTTTTTTCGGACTCCAAGATCAGGTGTTTTTCTCCAGAATACTCTGGGCTTCTTCTAATTAGAGTACTTAAAACTGTCCCCACTAGCCATATGGTGCCTTCAGGAGACATGTCTGGAATCAGGGTGCACAAGTTGGTCATCAAAAGTCTTTTTTCCCCCCAGCCTGAGGCTCTTTGCAGGGTCCCATGGGCAGCAGCCTTAGCACTTAGCACAATCACCTGTTAGCTTGTCTGGTTCACACTTCTCACCCTCCAATCTAACCTTCAAGGAAAGAACTGTGCTCATCATGGAATCCTGTGCTCCTTGCTCAGACAGTTTTCCATAAAATAAAGTACTAACTAAATAAACTTTATTCATTTATCACGTTTCTACTGGATAGGTTAACTTTTGTATTTCAAGATAACTAAATTATAACAGATTTCAAAAAAGGTTAGTAAGACATTCTGGGGTAGGAGATTGGAGTGGAAGAGGTCAATAAAGGAAAAAAAGAGGGACATCTATAATATTTTCAACAATAAAGATAAATTTTTAAAAACCTCAAAACAAAAAAACAACAAATATACTATTTGCTTGATTCTCCCTTTCAACTTCCCTAGGCATCTATAAGCTGTCTGGCAAGTTTCCTGAAAAATATGTTGACATTAAAATGTTTACCATCTAAATATTCCAAATGGAAATATTAGTTGTAATTTACACTAACATAGGCAATTTATTTTTAATTAATTTTATGTATTTGCTTTTGAATATAATAAATTTATCCAATCAGTAAAACCAGAGGAAATTTCAGCTAATTTGTTATTATTTCAGCACTCTCATTCAGAATAAAGACCCTCTTCTTTATTACTGTCCTAAACAAGAGTTATGAGAGATGTGTTAAATGTTTTGAGATGGTCAGCAAAATTAGCATATAAACTGGAAACTTTGATATTCATACAGATGTATGAGATGAAATAATAACGAATTACAATAATAGAACTTTGGGATATTTGCAGTGTCTCTCCCAGTGAAGTAAAATTTCATATTATGTAATGGACCTTCACAATATTACTCTAATGTTGGAAGAAATCAATATTAATATCTGAATTTTACAGAGAGATTAATGCAAAGAAAAATCACGGGGCTTTTCACACTCTTATAGCCAATTGGGTACAAAGAAGTAAAATTATCCACTATTCTTGGGCATAATACAAGTATTTTTCTTCACAAATTAAGATTATTTTCCATCATGGATTTTTAAAATAATTTTACCTAATTCTAAAACACATCATAATACAATGATTAAATTTGCTATGATAGCTTAGCTACAAAAAAATTGTTTTCTATTGTAAGCACCTTTCCCCAAGTAATTATCTTAAATTTTCCTTTTCTGTGTGATGCCTCTAAGATAATTGTTGTCATTGCTGATAGTTAATGTCAATGTATTGTCTACTGAAAACTGTCTTATTTAATTAATTACAAGAAATTAAGCAAAAGTGATTACTATTTGTGTATTAAGAAGGAGAAGAAAAGATAAAACCATTTGCATGTAACTTAATAGTAATAGAAGAAGCTTAAATGGAAAATTAAACTGTCTATCCAAACTTCTTTCAGCAGAAATTACAATGGAAAAATTTAAAAAACCCACAGACTTAAAAAAAGCAAAATTGTTTTACAACATACTCTCTAGTCTCTGAAGTTGAAATATTTTTTGTTGTCTATTTTCTTTGCAAAATTAAAGTCATTAACATGAGAAATGCTATTTCTAAACTTTAGAAAGAATATGGCAAACATACAAAATTATGTACAGCAAAAATAAATTATTGTAATAATTGGCCTTTGAACACATAGGGAAATTTCTGTTTATTTCCCCCATGTCACACCTCTTCTCTGAGAGGAGAGAGAAAATGTGCTTTCTTCCTGCCTCTTCATACTTCGCCACAGAAAGGAGCATTCTTTAAAGCCCAAAGGAAAAAATGAAGGAGAAAAGAGAAAGGAGGAAGACAGAAGAAAAGAAGTGGGAAATACAATATTTATTGAATGACAATGCATTTTATATTTTTAAAATCTATATTTCAACCTAATGATGTATTTATTTTCACCATTCTAAAGATAATCAAAATAAATGTTAGAGATGTTGATTAAATTACCCACTTATTCTTACTCTGGTGCATCCCCCACTTACTAATGTGAAACAAAGATACACTCAGAAAATGATCCTAGCTATAAGTACCTGAAATTATTACACTATTAGTTACCTGTCAGAAAAGTGCTTGAATTACCTATGGACAGGGCATGACAGGAATTGTGAGGAATTAGAATTTTAGGCAAACTTTGATAGATGGGTTAAAAAATTCTGATGATGAGTTTGGATCTCAGAGTCCATATGAGTGTACAGAGAAGGGTCATGGATGAAAAGAAACAAAACATCCACAATTCAAAAATTTTTCAATTAGAATCTTCTTGTCAGTTTTCCAAAAATAATTATGCCCGATGAAAAAATATAACTCAGAAACTCAGGAAAAATAATTTTATTCCTGGCTATATAATAATATACATATGAAACATATGCATGCTATTGGGCAGGCCATTGAATCTCTCAGAATTTATTTCTTTCATCTATGCTAATTCTCCTTAAAAATAATTTCATAGACAAAGGTATTTCATTTATTACCTATCCAATAATGGAATGAGATTATATATCTCATTTTCTACTATAAATACCCTTCCTCAAAAAAATGCTTTTAAATTTCCTTTATAAAATAAACTTTCAATTTGAAATTTAAAAGTTCATCATTCTAGTGAGAGCAAAATCAAATATCCCCAAAATCTCTTATGAACAAGTTAAATAATGAAAATGAAAATACACTTAAAGAAATTTCCCTTTGCTAAAATTCATGAAGAAAAGATGATCTTTTCACGTTGATAAGTAAAGCTGGATATTCTTCATCATATTATAAAAATAAAATAAAATAAAATGGATTACAACCTAGATGTAAAAGTTAAAACAATTAAGCTACTAGTATAAATATTAGGAAGACATCTTTATGGCCTTCAGGTTTGAAAAAAGATTTCTTAAAACAGGCTAATGACAAAGGAAAAGATTGAAAATTGGACTTAGTTAAAATTAAGAAGCTCACCATTAGGAAAGTAAAATGAAAAATTAAAGTCTGTGAAAAAATATAATACATGTATAATAAAGAACTTGTATCAAGAGAAAAGTACAGTACTCCTACAAATATATAAGAAAAAGATGGACAACTCAATAAAAGTGGGCAAACAACTTGAATATAATTAAACAAAAAAGAATGTTGAAACAATCAACAAGCCTGTAAAAAGTGCTCAACATCATTAAGCAGTTAGGTACAAATTAAACCACAATGAGAAACCACTACACCCCATAAGAATGGTAACAATAAAGAAGACTGATCATACTAAGTGTTATAAGAATGGGGAGCAACTGGAACATTCTTAACACTTCTAATGGGAGCATAAATTTGCATAACTCGTATGTAAAATATTGTTTGGGCAATATTTACTAGATCTAAATGTACCTAATCCCTATGTCCCAACAACTCTTCTCCAAGATATAGCCAAGAAAAATGAGTGTATACGCTCACCATACTACATATAGAATGATCATGTAGTATAATTTAAAATAACCAAAAGCAGAAAACAATCCAAATGACCATTAACAATAAAAATCAATGAGTAAATAAACTATGGTATATTCATGTGATAGAATATTACACATAAATAAATAAATAAAAACTTCTACATACAACATGAATGAATCCCATAAGATTTCACTTTAATTAAAATAAGCTAGATACAAAAGAATACCTAACATATTATTTTATCTTTATAAAGTTCAATAACAGGCAAGACTGACCTAGATGACAGAGTTCAGAATAGGTATTAGCTATGGGAAAGAGCTAGAAGGAGGTTTGAACCCCTTTTGGGGTACTGAAATATGCTACTTGCTCTCGACGAAGGTTACTACACAGATATGTATACATAAATATTTATTTAGCTGAGCTATACATTTAAGGTCTATAGACTTCACTGTTGCTTGTAAGTTATTCATTATAGCAATAAACATAAAGGAAACTTTAAAATAAAAAGAATGTCTCAAACTTTTATTTCTCTCCTATTCTTCTTAAAGTCAGTTTAAAACATTGATTGGCATGGATGGGGTATTGGAGAAAAAACCCTAAAATATTTCTTTAGGTCAATTAGCAAATAATACAATTAAATTAATTCAAACCAGTTAATGTTGAAAGTAAAAGTTCCGTGGTATAGCCTGAATGTTTACAATTTAGAGAAAGAATAGTCTAAACAGAGTCTATTAGATTTGCAACTGCTAAGTGCCCATTATCCCAGATAGTTACAGAAAAATTATATATCCATAATTGAGCAAATACAAACTTTGTTTTGTAATGATTATCTTTATCCTGTATAAATGCTCCTTTTTTATAATTCTAGAGAGTGATCAGGTAAAATGTCCACTGTTATGAGATATTGGTGCTTGAAACATAAATATTTATTATTAACAATCTCCTAATAAAAGGCATGTTTAATCTATGTGATATTCTCATGGTCACTCACCCAGATATTGTGACTAATTTTTGCTAAATGTTGTATCACAGACTATCTAAATGCTATTTAGCTATTTTTACTCACTTTTTTTACTTCCTATCTAAAATGCCATAAATTATCTTCAGTCTAAATATTAGAACCATTTTTTCTAAAACTACTAAGAGCTGACAAGATGGAGCTGATAGCACCCATGGGAAAGCATGGAGGAAGAGGAGCGTACCAATGACAAAGTTGGCCTTGGAGGATGACTGCCCATACTGTTGCTCGATGTACTTTGGTTTATATGTCACCATGCCAAATAAAGAATTGAACTGAACGGTGCTTGCACACAAATATAAGAAGTACACTGGATTTCCAAAAAGACTCCTCAGTGATGGAAGAAAATCTGTAAGACAAAAATACCACGGAGAGATTGAAGACAGAGTCATACTTGGCAGAAGATACAGCCTTGGCATCAGGGCTTAGATGTCTGAGTCCCATCGTCATAGTATCACCTGCAGTTCTAGTGTGGCACCCTCACACACTGCGGATATCAAGCCATTGGTGCAAGTCAAAGATGAGATTTGGCCAGTTCAGATCTAGACACAGGGCTCACTTCTATGGGCATAAAATCTGTATTATAGTCCGAGGTATAAGTCAGACAAAAAGAGATTCCTCTAACCGATGTGGGTAAAAGGCAAGAAGAACTAACTACTCCCTCACCACAGAGCAGGGAGTCATAGGCAGGACATCAAGAACTTCAGTTTTCTGGTTTATTTTTCAAACTTGGGTCCGTCACAAAGAAAGGCATATGAACATTGTCTCCATTTGATGCATGAACTTCTGTGTAAGAAATGAGCTTTGGCATTCACCCTTCTTCCTCTTACGAAGCCAGACAGAAATGTGAAGACTTCCTAAAAGGTGAATATTGCTTGCTGGGGTCCTTCCAGGACCACTTGAGGCGAACTACTCTTTCTCGTGGATACCCATGATCATGTGGGGATACTTCACCACAACACTCCTGTCGTCATTGCTGGGGCACATGCACTGGTACACATCTCTCAAATGGGTGAATCTCATCTGTTTTAAAAGGCCACAATCCCTGAAGATTCATTCTTTTCTTTTCTGTCCACCCAGGCTGTTGAGAAGCAGCAATCTTGTAGGGGCAGTTGCAAGGTCTACACTGAGGAGGGGTGAGGTGGGGGTGTCAACAAGGAAGGTTACCCAGACTCTAGAGCATGTTCTTCATTCGTTTTCCAGTAATAAAACTAACTTTTAAATCTTCATTTCTGCTTCCTATATAGTTTCTCAATATTTTTCTGAACACATGAAGGAGAGAGAAGGGTATGACTTATAGCTCCCCTATAAAGTTCATACAGGAAAACTAAAAGTGTTTCAAAATCAGGGAAAATCTGGCTCACCTCGTGCCATGTCCATCATTTTTGCTTTTTCTCTGTGCGGTGTTTGGTATTCTGTGTGATCATCCATAATAAACTTGGATTTCTCAGTGGAGGAATTGGAATCCTCTTTACTTTGGGGTTTCAGGAGACTCTTAGGTAAACACCAAAAAGGCACAGCTGCAAGAAGGCTTATGACTCCTGCGATTAGGTAACCGAGCCACCAGGCACCTACCCACTGGGGGTCCTTTGGGGTTATAGTGATGTGATCTGAAACAGAGAGAGGATGGCTAAATAGCATATGCTCCAAAGCTAATGTGTTGAAACAAACCTCTTTAAAAAAAGAATCCTAGCATTAGCTCGATCACATTATCAAAATACCTAATAATTCGCACATAGCTTTTTTTTTCATCTGAACATTATTATGTTGATTTTTGAAGGACAGAGGGTGGAGCATGATGATTTCTTTTGTTGTTCCTTAGGTCATAAGTATAGAGTCTAAAGAAAGGCAGGGAACCCAGGGTTTCTAAACCCTGCTCTGGGGTTCCGCAGAGGGGCCCCTGGGCCCATGGCAGGGAGAGCGGCATGTGAGGGAGAGCTTGGAGGGTTCAAAGCCTCCGCCAGCTACGCCACATCAGGGCTACTTCCTCTGATTTATAAATTGAAGGTCTAAGATTTTACTCAAAGAAAGAGTTATGTCCTGCACCCTGTGGCTCAAATCTAGTCTGAAGCACTATAATGCTGTTTATTAAATGATTTTAATAATAGTTCAGAGCTATTGTAGGTTTGAAGCAAGATTTGTACACCAATAACTTACTGTAAAAACTTTATTTTTGGACACTATTTCTCATTGGACTAAAAGCTAAACATTGACAAAGTTTTTTGAGCCAAACCAAGAGTTGTTTATATATATGTGAACCAGTAAAACATAGTACTATACTCCACCTGCACCACCCTCTGTGAGAGTAACAAAATAGCACATTCTTTGACAACTAGGCCCAACCGCCACCGCAGCCTACTCGGTAAAGTGTCTGCACCAGCTTATCCTGCATGCTCATTGCTCCCCCTAACCTTGTCCTCTGGCACCCATCACACCTTGCTCTCCTCTGCGTATCAGTCTCTGGGACTGGACTGTAAAATTCAAGGAGTCAATAAACTCAGCTATTTGTTCTCTGTGGTAAAATGGCACCGGGGATAAAGTATATGTAGAATACATTTTGGAGGTTAATGACTTAGTAAATAAATAAAACATAAAACTTTTGGATATACCTGCACTTTATGTGAGTAAGGAGGGCCAACCAGAGCGAGAGTTTGGCATTCTGTTTTAACATAGTGATTTCAAAGAGCAATTCCAGAATTTTTCAAAAAGTGAAATATTTTTTAATTGCTTTCTTGGAATTGTTTATAAAACAAAACACAGAAGTACTATATATGCCTAGGGGGTGCATCTCACAAGGGAAGAAGTCAGTTCATAGCTGAGGTCCCCCATTTACCCCCAACACAAGCTCTCCCCCTGAAGGAGAGCTACTCTCACCCCACATGCCTCCACCTGAAAGATTTGTGCAGTAAAGAAGGGGATGTTGGTTGCCAGAAAGCTTTCAATCCTCAGTTTTTCTGGCAAGTCAACACATACATTATCAATCGATGTGACAGTAATACATGTTGATACACCTGAAGCCAACAAGAGCCAACAAATAACCACAGTTTTTAGTCATAACTGTGCTGGAATGCATTTGAACTGGCTAACCAGCTAACCAGAAGTGAAAAGGGAGACACCCTCCAAATCACAAACCATGGGTCATCAGTTCTAATCACCATCAATTTCTCATTACACTTATGAATGTGCCTGATGACTCTATCAATAATAAGTTTTTCATGGACTATTTTCATTTTATGAAAGATGAGCATTCTGTCAACTTATAAAAAGTTGATTTGCTATTTTCTACACCATAAAATTACAGTTAAATAAATGAATAAATAACAAGACATGCCTTACCTAGGTTTACAAACCCAATGTCAACATACAGTTTGGCACATAATGATCCTAACAGGAAGCCAAAGATCGGTCCTATAATTGCGACTGTCTGCACACAGCCTGCACCAAATAAATAAATAAATAAATAAATAAATAAATACATACATACATACATACATACATACATACATGCATAAATAAATAAATAAATAAAATAAGGTGCCATTTTCTTGTTTTTGTAAATTAATACATTTTAAAACAATAAGTGTGAATGAGATCTGGTTAGTAGCTGAAAATAGTTCATCAACTCTTTACTCAAGTGTACTTAATTTGTCAATTTTTCAACCTCATTGAATTAGAAAATAAGTCCTTCTTAGTTTTGTAAGAAGAATGAACATTTTTAAGGCATTAATTACTTCTTAGTAGGAAAATAACACCAGGACTGACTCTGACATATATGTATGTCACCTACGTGCTTTAGCAGTCCATGAAGTCCATGAAGATACTTACCCATGGCCAGACATCATTGCCTTTGAACTCAGTTATCTCTTTTAATCTGATGTTCTTCTCTAAGGCAACAGGACCCTCTATTTGAATTTTTTTTTTTACTATTCAAATCCCCAGTGTGGACTTTAGAAATGTATGAACTGAATAAAGGAGTTGGAGATTAAATAAAAAGCCTTCCACACCCGATTTAGTTTAGAATGCAGTTGAGGAAACCAGGTACCCTGCTTCCTGTGAAGGTAGATGAGGTGGACCTTACCAATATAGAAAGCCGCATTGTCTTCACTGGCAAAATCATCAAGGTAGGCGATGCCCAGGGGTTGAATGGGAGTTTCTCCAATTCCACGAAGAAGGTTCCCCAGGAAAACATAAACCCACATGGAAGAGCTGGTGTCCACTTTGCACTCTTGAAAGGAAAGCAAATAATAATGAAATAAGATTACTATCAAAGTTAAATATTTATTCTGCATTTCTACAAGTTGTCCTAAAATTGGATTAGAGTGCAGATGTAAAATGAGACCCAGACATAATTTGATAGGCTTGACCAAGGTCGGAAAATGTTTTGTAACTTCAATAGTTTAGGTAGTATATTCTTTCAGAAACTTTGACCAAGGAACTCTATTGCTTCTTGTTCCTGTTACTTTACTACTTTTCTCTCTTCTTTCTGTTTCATACTTAAACAAAGTTCTTGGAATTCCTATACTTCAATGACACTTAATATCCTCTGGTTTGGGACAAAACATAAAATTTTGGACAAAGGCTATTCTTGCCTTAATCCTTAAACTTTTCTACTTTTCAGCAGAAATCACTGGTAATGTTATTGCTGACCAAGTTTTATCTGAAATTCAAAATTTAATATAGATGATAGAAATGCTACTTTGGATAGTATTGTCTATAATCACAATTGTTTGATAGTGAATAACAATCTTTAGGGCTCATATTTAGAAAACAATATATATAAATATGAAAAACCCTCTAAGCTTCAGTATCGTAACTATTCCAACAAAAAGAACCCTTGAGAGTAGTAATTTTAGAGTGAAATTCAAAGCTAACAATTTTTAAATGCTTTCATGTCTTAATATGAATATGTGAAGTTAGATAATTACTCCAATATCATAAATGAAATATACTTTGAAGGGTTTAGTCACTTATAATAAAAAGGATAATAACAACCTCCAGCAATCATTTTCTCAAGGCTACCTTCCTGCCAATCACTGGGCTAAGTGGCTCAATTTTTACATTGAATTTTCCTAACAATCCTATGAAGCAGGAGTTATTTTCACCTATTAGTAATCCCTAAAGCAATGTTTGAAGGTGAAGCATGGGTTATGAAGAACTGGGGCACATGCTTTCACGTAGATGAATCTGACTGCAAAACAAAAACAATCGCCGTGAAGTCACCTTGCTTCCCGTCTTGATTCCACCATTTCTAGAAATGTAGCCAAGGGACCTGGCTATTCACTCATCTTCTAGGTTTCTATTCCATTCCCCCAAATACCACAGGATTTTTTTTTTCCAAAATGTGATTCTAATGTCAAGTCTAGCCCTATTATTTATTAGTGTTGTTCTAAGAAGCTTGCTGGTAGGTAAGTCTTATAAGTATAGACACCTTAGATCTGTGCTTTCCGATATGGTAGCCACAAGCCACATGTGGCTGTTGGAATGTAAAGTAATTTAAATGACATAGAGCTCAAAATTCAGTTCTTTAGCCACACTAGCTATATTTCAAGTACTTAGTAGTTACAGGAGGCTAATGACTATGGTATTGAGCAGCATGTTAGAGAGCATTTCCATCATCACACACAGTTCTGTTGGACACCTCTGCTCTAGGGTATCATGGGGAAATGGAGGTAGTGTACAGAGCATTTTTGAGAAGAGTCCTATATTTACCCCATTTTCCTCTTTAGGATGAACCTTGTATTTACTGTGTCTAATGCCCACATATGTCTATGACTTTAAAGGAAAGAAAAGGATTAAGTTGTGAGCCTTATACTTTGTACATACTGAATAACCTGTCTCTTTACATTAAAAACATTTTTCACTCCTTACCTCTAAATCTTATGGTTGTTGTTTTTCTTTAGCTAAGACAGAAGAGATGATTTATTGTACATGTTACATTCAGCTACACTGAGAACAGAACCAGTCCAGAATGTCACAGGTCCAGGGCAAAGGACTAAAAGGGACTACTTCTTAAGAGCAGGGTGGGTCTCAAAAGGTGGTTGTACAGATCAGATGGCATGTTTGTTCTAGATCCATCGAGAAGTTCTAGAGAGCAGGCATGCAGTCCTAAAATTTGTACCAGTGTCCCTGGTCTATGCCTTCCCTTATTTCTGCTCCTGTGGCTTCCATGGGTGCACAAAGTAGAGGTTCACTTGGACCTGTCTCATCTTTCTTCTTCTGCACCTCAGCCTGTGTGTTTGCTTCTTTCTCTACTTGGCTCTCATGATGTGGAGTTTTCTAAGAAGATGGTGCTAAGGTCAGAGCTCAACCTTATGTTTTTAGAGGTTTAAATATTTTTTAATTCATTATGTTAGCATTTATATCTTCCCTTATTGTTTAAAATAAAAACAAAAAAAAATATTTTCAATGACTGTATGTGGTCTACAGTTGAAATCCCAAACTCTACAGTTCAGTTCCTTGACTCTTTATGTGGATCTGATTGAAATTTATCATCTGTTATTTTCTCTAAGTCCAGAATGTCCTCCCCAACATTCTCCTCTCCTGTTTCTATATTTATTTTAATCCTCTGGCCCTTCCCTCTCAACAGCCAGACCTCTAGTGTTCACTGCCCAGGACAAACACATCTCAAAAGTAAGCATTAATGAGGGTATTAGAGAAGTGAAAAGGTTTTATGGTATAGGTCAAAGATTTGGGTGGGTAACAGGTATATAAAAGAAAGGCTTCCACACTCTATAGATCTTGATCCCAGGCTAGGAATAGGGAGTGAGACAGGGGTGGTGGGGAAGAAGAGTTGAGCATACGGATACTGAAAGGCTATGGAGAGAGGGCATTTCAGGTGCTGCCTGTGCAGCATCCCAGACATACTGGCAAACACCTGTGGGTAGATGAACCTGTGTCATCATGAGCAGGCAAAGTCCAGGAAGGTGGAAAGACCCCAACCATGAAATAGTTGCACAGTGTAACTAGGGTTTCCAGTGTCTCCAGGAACACACAAGAGGTGATTCCCATGTCCTTGAGGGGGGCTCATACATAGCATCACTGTGTAATGCTAACCAATTCCCCGACTCCTATCTTGTGTGCAAAGTAGAATGATATTCATGTTTCCAAGGTAGGCACTCCTGCATCAGAGAGAACCGCTGTGCTAAAAAAAAAAAAAAAAAACACAGACATGGACATAAGATGACCCCAAGAGGATGTGTATGACCAAACACTGTGGCCAGAAGGATTAGATGTCTAAGATGACAGGGCACCAATAACACCAAAAATCCCCCTCTGGCAACTCCCCCTTTTACTATTACATAACCTCCTTAGAATGCAAGCAGCCTCTGGGTAAAGATTAGGAAAACATTGAGATTCAGTTTTTTTTGCCATTCTGATGATAAGAGGCTAAATACAGAAATTAAATTGAGTTTCCTGAGTTCTCAGGAAAAAATATATTTCTTTCATATCTGAGCAATGGACAGAGACTTGTAAATGCTAAACTAGTCGTACCCTGATTTCGAAGCCCGCCTTATTTGGAATCACCAGAAGGCTTTCCTCAGTCATCAGCATAAGATTTGATTGTCTATGTATTTTCTTAGGGTCTCATCATATACCGCTTCATATTCTGTGAATTTTTATGGCACTACAACATCTCAATTTAAGTAGTAAATCTTTTGACAGCAAACATTGTACATTTTGTCCATAAAAAGGAACATATAAAGTCTTTTTAAAAAGCTTTTCTAGTCATTAAAATCAAAACAAAGTCATCTTACCATTATTTATTGCAGATTGTGATTTTTCCATAACTGAGGTTGGTAACTGGCTGTTTGACTCCAGGATACACGGAGAGGTGCGAAGAGTGGAATTGGAGGAAGAAGGATACCTTTCATATCTGTACCTATATAAAAAGAACATTTTCTTTACTACAGACTCGTTTAACATCAGGTTAAAAATATTGCATGCATAGTACTCATTAGGGTACTTGTTTGAGTTCTCAGCTATCCTTGAATCTGAATCACCAAACCACACCAGCATCTAATAGCAGTTTTCTGAAGACACAGCCAAAAGATCTGGTTCATAGGCATTACACCATATTGACCCAATTATCTACTATAGTAAAGAAAATAAAAGTAAGACATTTATACAGGCTCATTTACTATAAAATAATGACTATAAGTCACATACTCTCTTGGTGATCAACTATCCAACACTTGGTAAGATCATAATTTTCTTGGAGTCAGAGGACAAGCAATAACTTTATGACTGTGGCTAATGATGCTGTATTTAGTAGTGAATTTAGAAGAACAACCGCAATGCTGATTCTAGAAAACTGATAATGACACATGGGCTGTTTGAGTCATTTATCCAGAAGGTATTCTTCTTTTCAGTTTATTAATCTGAGTGTAAATTATTTCTAATTCTACCCTCTTCTCTGTTAATAAGGTTACAATGGCAGCTGGATTAAAGAGCCAGTGCTGAATGGGAAGACTGGGATAATTCTATCCAGAGTCCCGAGCATCACACTTGTCCTCAGATTACCCTTCCCGAGCCTATTTCTCTGGTCCAATTGCACCCTCTAGAGAAAAGATACCTGATAAAAGGACATCACAAGATCATCTTGATTTGCATTTTTTGGGGGGCCACTTTGTGATTAGAGACTGGTAATTATGGTGATGTATTTGAAATATTAATAGCAAAAACCTATTCAGCAAGGCAAGGAAAAGATGTAGTTATGAAAATATTCAGGTTTATAAATGGGTTACTTTATATCAGTTTTGCACAACCTACATTTTAGTGGGTCCATAAACCCCACTGAAAAGTGACATTTTTGTATGGTGTATTTAAGAGGTTCATAGTTTTATCAATGGTCTGGTTCCTTCACCACAATAAATCAAGAACCACTTAATGAATTTTCTGTTCATTGAGCCTAGAATCTTCCCCAGACATGTGTGACTCTTTCCTCATCTCTTTCAGTTGTTCCCAAATGTCATCATCTTGGTGAGCCATTCCCTGACAACCCTATTTTAAATTGTGACCTCCCCCACACATATTCCTTACATGACTTACTGGGTTTTCGCTATAGCACTTAACATGATCTGACATACTATATCTTTATTTGTTTGTTCCTTGTCTGTCTCTTCCTCTTAAGATCTATGGAAGCAGAGATCCTGTCGGTACTCTATGCTTATTACCTAGAGAAATAATCAATATGTATTTGTTAAATTCATAAGTTAGATGAGCTAACATACATAAAGTTAACCACAGCCCTTGGGGGCAGGCGGGTCTTTAATAATTGATATCCACTATTAATATTACTTGTTGCACATCAAGGATATTTCTGCTGGGCACACAGAGTACAAATAGTAGGTCATCTTTTAGAGAACACATTTTGGACGAGCACCAATTAGTGACTCATCCTGTGGAAGGTTGAAAAAAAGTTATTGTAATAATCCTCACTAGATAGCAGACTTCATGAAGGACAGAATTGTGTGTGTGTGTGTGTGTGTTTTCTTTCTTTCTTTTTTTTTTTCCAGTGAAGTAGTCCCATTACCTGGCACAGCACCAGGCAAAAGACAGACACTAAATAATGAATACAAAAATATATTTTTCCACATGTAAAAGGTGGTAGATACGAACCAGTTTTGTCTCTTTGACATCCCTTGTCACCACTAGCCTGGCTGCTTGGCTGGCCTTCCCTTAGATACACTTTTCCTTCTGATTTTCTTATACTAGTATTTTATATTTGTCTTCAGCTTGCTGTAACTGAATGAAACACCTTCAAGACAAATCATTGCTGGTTTCTGATTAAAACCATGTGGCTTGTTGGCTAGTGTGGCTCAGCAGTTGAGTGTCGACCCATGTACCAGAAGGTCACTGGTTTTGAATCCCGGTCAAGACATATGCCCAGGTTGTGAGCCTAATCCCTGGTGATGGGAATGCAGGAAGTGGCCAGTGTCGTCTCTCATCGAAATTTCTCTCTCTCTCTCCTTCTCCTTTCCTCTCTCTCTCAAATCAATAAAGAAAAAAAGTTTAAGAAAACACAAAAAACATGTGGCTTAATTATCTAAGGAGGATAGAAAATGATATGCAACTCTATTGACATAGCTACTAGTTATGACAGGAAACTTGGTAAGCATTTTACCTGTGTCTCATTTAATATTTGCAACAACATTGTAACATAAGGCAGGTATTATTATTATTTTTTATCCTCACCCAAGAACATTTTTCCATTTTTTGTTCACATAGAGTAGGAGGGAGAGAGAGGAAGAGAGAGAGAAACATCGACGTGAAAGGGACACATGGAGTGGCTGCCACCTGCACGACCAACCAGGGCTGGGGACAAACTGCAACCGAGGTACGCAGCCTTAGTGGGAACCGAAGCCGGGTCTCTCTGGACCACAGGCTGATGCTCTAACCACTGAACAAAACGGGGCAGGGCAGGCAGGTATTATTTTTAATAACTATAATACTTCTTTTAAGATGCCTAAACTGAGGCCTACAAAGATAAAGTAACATGCTATGGATCAAGCAAGGGTTAAGTGCATCGGAGACCCATTTCCTGGGCCTTTTCCTTTGTCTCTCCCTTACCCATTGGCCCACATAACACCTTTGTAGAACCTCAGTGATCCAAGGAAACTTCTGCCCTGTGGAAAGGAGGCCACACCCACTGGGCTGATATATAATTTTAAAAATCATGCTCTTGTTTTGCCTAGCCAATGTGGCTCAGTGGTTGAGCATCGACCCATGCACCAAGAGGATGACAGTTTGATTCCTGGTCAGGGCACATGCCCAGGTTGTCAGCCAAATCCCCAGTGGGGGGCATGCAGAAGGCAGCCAACCGATGTTCTCTCTCGTCGATGTTTCTCTCTCTCCCTTCCTCTCCCTCTCTCTAAAAACCACTAAAAAAAATTTAAACACAGGGTATTTTTTTAATTTAAATAATTAATGGTAACCATAAGAAGGGAGAAATGCATTGTTGGTTAAAGCAAAGACAGGATGGGTGCTCAGACTTACTGTCCCATGAAGAACTGCGGCAGTGCAACAAGCAGCGTTCCGACCCCCATGACCAGGCACCCTGCTCCGATTATTTTTGGCCTGTGAAGTCTGGCTCCAAAGTAGCTAACAAATGTTATAACTAAGAGGTTCCCTTTGAGAAAAAGAATAACATTTTCATAAGTGAGAGAACTTAGAAAAAGTCATCAGAATAACTAAATGAATTTAAGTGAATGAATGGACGTCTACAGGAAGTCTAGCCGTATTCTGTTTTGACTAAACCTGTCTCCCACCATCATTCTGATCATTTGATTTTCTTTCCTTCAGTCTGAGATGACTGTTGAAATTGTCTTCTTACTCGTTACTTCAACCATGTCACCTCTTTGTCAGAATATTTTAATGACCAGGCCTTCTACCTCATTGTCACACACCTTAACTACTCATCCTTTTAAAGTGTTTTATTAATAATCAAATTGTAGAAGGCATCCTTTAGCTGTTCTCTTAAATTTGTTTTGCTGATTTTAAAGTAAACTTTATTACTGTTTCTTCATTTCTTAAAGTTTTCTAATAAAACTTCTATTAGTTTCCTATTTGCTCTTGAAACAGACATCACATACTCTCGCTTTAGCTGATATTCCCTAAAGAAAACGTAAAACAACTGTACCTCATTTTAAATGAAATCAAATTATAAAATTCATATTTACACAGGTGATATTTTACAGTTTGTTTATATATACTTTTTACAAAAAGATAACATTCAAAATGGAGATAAAAATGACTCCACATAAACAACTTTAGGAACATATCAATTATATAGCTTCCCTGTATACTTATAATACAAATTTTATGAACTAGAAAATCTCCACAAAATATACCCATCTATCTGTTTTTTTAAAAAATAATTAAAGAATGTTTTTTGAAGGCGGGAGTTAGGCCTTTCTAAATGCCTCTCAAGATGCATGTGATTATGGCAATAACGTACTCACCACACTTAAGGACCGGTCCTCGTGCTTTCCTGAGCACAGAATTACTGGAACGAGGTGGTGAGGGAAAGAGAAATATTAAAAGTGCTGAATCTTGGCAGCTCCCAACAGTTTCTAGTCCATGGATCTGAGGGCAGGCCAAGAAATCTGCATTTTTAATACTAGCTCAAATGTGTGGAAGGAGATGGCTCCTGGAACATACTTTGATAAACATTGTTTAGGGTCTTAGATATCAAGGAGTTTTAAAGTTTTAACTATTTTCATTTGGAATATTTAGTTTTTTAAGAACTGCGTTGCTCGACAGAGCAAGAACTTAGCAATACTGACGCAATTGATTGTGATGTCTGATGGGTAGCTTTGCATTAAGGTCCTTCTCGATGTTTCCAATTTTCCAGCAAGAGTGTTTCCTTACATCTGTAAGCAATCATCTAATTTACTACTGTTTATTCACATTGCCAGCTTCAGTCAAGTGCAAAAAGAGCAGCAATTTTTATATCATTGAGGACAAGAATGATAGTGAGAAAAGTAGATTGCATAGTGGCTTCAGGCTTTATGGCTCTAGGAAGATTTAAACTCCTTTTAGTTTTCATATTTAGAAAATTGAGTATGAAATTTCTCATTTAACATTCAAGTATCTAGTAGAAGACTTTGTGTATCATATATTAGTAATTATGTCTATACTTTTGCTAAAGTGTCATAGTAAATAAAACTAGAAAACAAATAAAAAGTTGGCTTCCAGTTTACAAATAATGTGTCCCCCCACCCCACCCACCCTCCCACCTCCCACACCACCACCCTCACAATAGAGGACTCAATGTTTCCAGTCTGTTTTTGTGTTACATTAGTGAGCTGCCAAATACTACATGACATTTCAACATCTGTGATATGTATATGAATTTTATCTTTCTTTACTTAGTATCCTTTCTGAGTTCTCAGAAGATACACTTGGAAAATAAATGATGATAACACATCTTTAAAACAATGAATTGGATATCAAAATTCTTTCACATGTATGATGACTAGCCTCTCAAAAAGACAAGTTCCACAGAGTTTTAAAAATATGTTTTACCAAGCTTTCAAGTAACAGATTCTCTCTCTTGCTCTCTCTCTCTCTCTCTCTACACACACACACACACACATGCACACACACACACACACACACAGTATTTCAGATAACATAAAACTACTCGACTCATCTTATAAGACTAATATTTTTTGAAACCAAAGCTACACAAGGACTATAAAAGACCAAGTATAGTTTATTTCAAGAATACAGAGGTATTACCAAAAAGAAAATTAATTATATCACTATGGCTATCTTAACAGATGTAGAAGAGCATTTAACATAATTAGCCATTCATTTATATTAAGAAAATAATATCTGAGCAAATTAACTTTTAAGGCATATATATCAAAACCATAATCAAACATACTGCTTAATTGTAACATTTTAAAAGCATTTGTATTAAGGTCAGATATGAGAGAAGGATGCCCATTTCACTGCTTTTATACACCATACTACTGAGGCTGAAGCAATAAGGCAAAACATGAACAACAATAATAAAAAAAACACAACAACAGATCTATGAATTTAGAAGAATAATATAAAATCATCTTATGTTTCAGACAATAAGACTCTCTGTCCATTCAGAAAACTCTACACTATCTATAGACAATCAATTAAAATGAACAAAAATTAAACAAGGTTTCTGCATACAGATAACATTTAGAAATCAATATTGTACCTATATGGTCTAGCCTACTGCACACCCAGGCTGTATGGTATAGCCTATTGCTCCTAGGCTATAAACCTGCACATCATGTTTACTGAAATATTGTAGTGATGTAGGCAATTGTGACACAACAGTAAGTATTTGTATGTCTAAACAAAGAAAGGGTACAATAAAAACACAGTATATATGATACAAAAATGGTTTAGGGCACTTACCAAGAATGAGAGCTTACAGGACTGGAAGTTTTTCTGGGTAGGTGAGTGAGTGAGCGATGAGTGAATGTGAAGGCCCAGGACATTAGTGTGCACTACTGCAGACTTTATACACACTGTCCCACAAGCCCTCCACCTGCTTCCTTCTGACAGGATTAGAAATAGAATATCAGAGCTGTCAATGCTGCTCCATGTACAGAGATGTGGGCTGGACTGATTGAGACTATTGAGGAGAAACTGGTTGGGTAAGGTGTAGATACCTTAATAGTTACTGTCAGGAGGGAGTGAAATATGGCCTGGAGATCAGGAGGATTAGAAATCAAAAGGCAGCCCTGGCTGGTTTGGCTCAGCGGTTAGAGCGTCGGCCTGCGGTCCTGAGAGACCCGGGTTCAGTTCCCGCTAAGGGCATGTACCTCGGTTGCAGTTTGTCCCCGGCCCTGGTTGGTCGTGCAGGTGGCAGCCACTCGATGTGTTCCTTTCACGTCGATGTTTCTCTCTCTCTCTCTGTTTCTCTCTCTCCCTCCCACTCTACCTGAACAAAAAATGGAAAAATGTCCTCGGGTGAGGATTAAAAAAAAAAAAGAAAAAAAAAAAGAAATCAAAAGGCAGAAATAAAAGAACATCGGGGATTATCATGATAATGTGCTTTTGGATACTGCGCGTTGGAGCAGAGGTCAAATTAAGGAATTTTGTGGTAATCATAAAAAAACACGATGCTTAATATGGAAAAGGTGTAAAACTAAGGACATAATATTTTGACTTGGAAAATTTTTATTTGGTTCCACTGATCCTCTTTGGCATAATGGGCTAACATTGACATTGAAATGATAGAAAACATTAAACTCATATATGTTTGTATGGTTACAACCTGAAAATATTTCTAAAGTAGAAGGACTGGCTGGCCCCACACTACCACAGAGAGTTTTTACTCAAGTGAGAGCGACATTTAATATTTGTTAAGGTAGCTTCTATGGACCTTTGTCCTTACTCAGGATTCAGGTCTCCAGAATTTATAGCAATGGACTCTGAAGACTGTCAAGCTAGATCTGGGGGACTGTAGCATCCCCTGAATATGTAGTGCTGGGGCTGGGACAGGCCCCACTGTGCTGAAAGAGGTCAGTGGCTGATGAAGATATAACCTGTGAACTCAGAATTGAAATGTTGTGAGTGAGAGTGGACCTGTTTCCAAGCCCCAGAGATACTGATCCAGCCAGGGGAAATCCTTCTGAACCACACATCCTTTCACCTTTTACAGGAAATTCAGCCCCTTAAAATCTATGGGACCACTATCATATATGTGTCTGCAACTGACCAAAATGGTATTATACAGTGCATGACTGAATAAATAGCAAGATATTCCATGTTCATGAATGGGAAGATCGAATGTTGTTAAGATGTAAGTTATTTCCAACTTGATCTATACATTCAGTGCAATCCCAATTAAAATCCAAGCAAGTTATTTTGTGGGTATTGACAAACTAATTCTAATGTTAATATGGAGAAGCAAATGACCCAGAATAGCCAACACAATACCGAAGAACAAAGTTAGAGGACCCAAATCCAAGATATACCCTAAAGCCACAGTAACCAAGACTGCAATATTGACAAAATAATAAACAAATAGATCAAGGGAAAAAAATAGAGAGCCCAGAAATAGACCTACATAAATATAGTCAACTGATCTTTGACAGAGGATCAAAGTCAATACAGTAGAGCAGCGATTTTTAACTGGTGTACCTCAAGAGTTTTAAAACAAGCAATACCTGACTATTTAGTCAGGGGCACTGATCTCTTTTCCCTTAGATTGTCAAATTAAAAATTAATAATAATAGCTATCCAGTGTGAATGCCCTGTTCTAAACCATAAATATATAGGTCATATAATAGAGTTGCATCTTACTGGTTACATTGAATTATAAGATTGCATCTAATTGGTTAATTCTTGGTATCAGAAATCCTCACATACAAGTCGAGGGACCTAATTTTTTTAAAAAGTCACTTTCAAGCAAAAAGGGTAGGTAATCATTAATTTTTTTTGTAAATCAATCAAAGTTACACACTTTAAAAAATTATATTGGCAACGAATATAATATATTTTTGGTGTGCTACAGAATTTTAGTAATTAGTTTATGTGTGTCACAAGATGAAAAAGGTTGAAAATTGCTGTAATAGAGAAAAGATAATCTTTTTAACAAATGGTCTGGAATAACTGGACATCCACATGCAAAAAATAATAATCTAGACATGGACCATCTAGCCATGGAACTCACACTCTTCACACAAATAAACTCAAAATGGATCGCAGACATAAATGTAAAACATAGAAATATAAAACACTATAAGATAACACAGGAGCAAATCTAGATGACCCTGTGTTTGGTGCATTTTTAGATGCAACACCAAAAGTATAATCCATAAAAAAAAATAATTGATAAGCTGGGCTTCATTAAGATTAAAAAATGTCTGCTTTGTGAAAGACAATGTAAAGAGAATGAAAAGACACATCACAGAGAGAGAGAGAAAATATTTGCAAAAGTTTTATCATATAAATGACTGTTATTCAAAGTATATAAAGAACTTTAAAAACTCAGTAAGAACACAAAAATATTTATATTAAAAAATGGGCCAAATACCTTAACAGACATGCCATCAAAGAGGATATACAGGTGACAAATAGCATTTAAGAAGGTGTATAACAGCATATGTCATCAGGAAATTACAAATTAATATGACAATGAGATACCACTACAAGCCTATCGGAATGCCCCAAAATCCAGAACACTAAACACTGGGGAGGGTGTGTAGCAACAGGAACTCTCATTCATTGCTGGTGGGCATGCAAAATGGTACAGCCACTTTGAAATACAGCTTGGTGATTTCTTATACAATTAAACGTATTTTTACCGCATGATCTAGTAATCATGATCCTTGGTATTTACTCAAAGGAGTGAAAACTCATGTCCACAGAAAAACCTGCACATGAATAATTATAGTATCTTTGTTCATAATTTCCAAAACGTGCCCATCAATAAATAAATGGATAAATAAACTGCGGTCTATTCAGAAAACAGGCTATTATTTAGTGCTAAAAAGAGATGAGCTATCCAGTCATAAAAAACATGGAGGCGTCTTAAATACATAATCGTAATCTTAATACAATCTTAAACACAATCTGAAAAGGCTACACACTGTGTAATTCCAAATAAATGACATTTTGGATAAGGCAAAACTATGGAGACAATAAAAAAGATAAGTGTTTGCCAGGATGCATAGGGAGGAATAGATGAGTAGGCAGAGCACAGAGATTTTTAGAGCAGTGGTACTCTGTATGATACTGTAAAAGTGGATGCATATTATAACACATTTGTTCAATCACACAGAATGTACAACTAAAGGTAAACTGCATTCTGGATGGTAATGATCAGACCCCATAGGTTTATCAGTTGTAAAAATGGACCACCCCGGTGGGAGATACGTATAATGGGAGAGGCTATGCGTATATGGAGGCAGGGTGTGTATGGAAAATCTCTGTAACTTTGCTCAACTTTTCTGTGAACTTAAAACTGCTCTAAACACAAAGTGTATTAAAAAAATTGATGCCAAGTTTATTACATACTAAAATGTAAAAAGCAAAACTTTTAAGTATGGAAAAGAAAGTATATGGAAAATATTTTTTTAAAAAACAAGGAATTAATATCTGGAAATATGAGGTGGTCATGATATAGAAAACATTTTATTTTCTTGGCAACTCTCTGTGGTTGTAGAAAAAATCTGTTATGCATAAATACTTGGGAAGAAATTGAACGTCTAGCATATATTAGATGGTAATACCAATTGATGTGAAAGGATAAATAAAAATTTTCTGCAAAAAAAGAATTGGCATCTAGAGATCGAGGGTGGGGATAGGACCAGAATCCTGAAAGGAAGGACTATGGAGAGAGGAAAAAGGAATAAATTAGGATGGGGGTGGGGGAGATGACACACCTTTCTGGAAAACCAGGAAATGCAAATAACTAGAGCAAACTTCTAATGTTTGGGATACAAGCTTTAATGGAAGTACAGATGCCATTTTTTGCATCTAATCCAATAAATTATTTTAATCCTTAGAACGGTCTGAAAGAATTAATCTGTTAAGTTGCTCTGGGACCTGAAAATCTAAGAAAAAGTTTGGGCCAGATTAATTTTAAGTTTTTTCAGCTTTTAAAATACTTTTATTTTATAATCTAGAGTTAGTATAAAGTATCACTTGATATTTACTTTTCTATTTGTTCAGTTTTGAGTCTGATTTATTCCTTTGAGTGGCACCAGCTGCCTCTTCATACTTGTTTTTCTCACGATGTAGTGTCACCTTTTCCCTAACTCTCATGGTCCTTCATTCAGTTCAGTCACAGGTAGGGTAGTTATCAAGGAGTAAATCAACTACCCAGGCCTTTCGAAGGAGTATACACAAGGGAATGATATGCTCAGATGTTCTGAACATCTTTGCTCTACAAACTTTGCCACACAAAATGTGGCTTTGACTAATAGCATTAGCATCATCTGGGGAAAGTTATCAAGGGAAGCTGAAACAGGAGTTGTGAGAGATTTTACTATAGCACATATTTGAGTCCCAGTTGGCAGTAATGACCACAGAGCTACTATTCTACATTAACAAAGAATGAAAGTATCTTACTTTATTCATTCAGAAAGCTGACTAACCTGGATTATATGCTTTAAACTACTTCCAAAACTTTGAACTCAATTGGTCTTTTCCAATTCTAAGAGGGTGTCTATAGTCAATTGCTAATCAAAGACATATGAATACTTGCTTTGATGTCCTGTTCTCATCAACAGAATTCCTCTTTTTTCTTTCTAGGCCACTGGGCAGAAACCCCCTTTAACGGGTTAACTTCTTTAATAATTACAGTAACTTCATACAATCCATTTGGATTCTTCTAAATTTTGAATCACAGAGCTTCCATGATATATGACTCATATATAAATACACTTCCCACATACTTTTAAACTCGAAATACTGGTAACATTTCACATCTCCTCCAGGAAAGTCTCTCACTCTGGAAACTCTGAAATGGATGATTTAGTGAACACCTGGAAATATATTGTTGGTTGCCCAGAGGATACAAATTGCAATGAAGATGTTTTTTTAGTCATGCCTAGAAGACCTTGTACTTAAAAGTGAAGTCTGCAATACCTACCAATTTCAAAACTTCCATCAATAACTCCCACCAGTGATGAAGGGATTTCAAATCTTCTCTCTATTTGAGTGATGGTGCTCTTTAGATAGCCTTCTGCCAGTGCTTTTGCAAAGTAAACAAAAGACAAGGCACCCAAGAACAGCTGAAAAATATGACAGGTCACACTTATTCTGACTCCAGCTTGACACACAACTGGAAACTTACTAAACAAACAAACAAACCTCCAAACCAAGAACAATGTAACAAACTTGTTATCACTGAAAATTTTATTCAAGCATTACAACCTGGAGCTCATGTAAATTTCTGAGAAAATTCTATTTTTCTTCAAAATAAACTTTTGCTCAGAATGCATGTTGAATTCCTTTTTTTCTCATTTTTTCCTCCTTCCCCCAAAGGACATTCAAATAAGTCTTGGCTTTGAAAAGAAGATTCATTGTATGGTGAAGCAAAGAAAGGCAAGAACCATTTATAGGTAAGAAAATAAAACCAAAACCATAAACCAAACACTTAACACCCTACACAGGCCTAGCACTCATGATTGTGTGTTTCATAGTAATAATGCATAATTTTTTTTTGTCTGGTTTATGTATTTTGCTAGATCTGGGCGTATGATAGGGTATCCATAGCATAGGTTGGCATTTATATAAAAAAGACATATATATTTGTTGAATAAAGTGTGGTACAAAGAAAAAATAGGAATTTGGAGTGACAAACAGTACCATTTAATACCCCATCCCTAACTGCGTAGCAAGAAAAGTCAAATATTTTATTTTTAAAATGGAAATAGTTTAGATGCTTCATAGATTAAATGTTATAACTGTGCATAATATAATATCTCGTATCTGGTACATGACAGCTATTTAATAAATCTTAGTTTATTCTTTCTCTCTTTTTTTCTGTTAAGAAAGGGCATTCAAATAAGCCAGGAAAGTAATACTTAGTTATTTAACCTACATGGTTAGGTAGAGATTGCCTTTACTGCCTGGCAAAGTGTGGTTTCAATAACTTGCATCTAAGATCATTTTTTTAAGAAGGAAAAAATTTTTTGCTTCTAGTTATATTGTATAGAAAAGCATATCTGGACAGAGAGCCAAGTGTACCAACTCCACTTAATTCTTTATTCTTCAGTTTACTACTTACAGTTTTTTATCATTTAATTGTTAGTTACCTTTAGTTCACCACAGCATGGCTGCTTTTCCTCTGAGGAGGAATATTCTGTTTTAAAGGAAGGCCTCTCAACAGGTTGCACTGAATTTTTGCAGAATAACTGGATATTTTCTTTGGATGAACTGTCCATTATGAAAATGCTCCTTGACTCTGATCTGTCGAAGTTGATTTTAAAAGTAAAAAACAAAAACATTTTCTTCAAATTCACACAGTTTATTAAATAATATTTTTATTTCACAGTAGATCACAATTCCATAGACCTCTTTGACATAAAGGTACCTTATTGTACCACAGTAAGTTGGCAAAGCTTTTCAATTAAAATTGACCAGAATGTTTGATTAACTAATCCTGCTATCAGAACTCAGTTGCCAGCATTTCCCTCCAGTTTAAGCCTCATTATGGCAAAGAATAAATTTAAATGTTGCCTTTGGAATAAATAATGAGGCAGAATTTTGCTAACTTTGTGGTCTTGCCAGCTTAAACTAGAAGCAAGCAGGAAAGGAAGAAGAGGAATTCAACCATTTGAATAGTGCTCCATTAGAATTAAGTTTTTAAAGCCTTTAAATCGATCTCCTTAGTAGAATGGACAGAAAAGATTGATGCCCACTGGAGAGGCCATTGAGATTCCCCTAAGTCTGCAACATCCAAAGGCTTAAAATATGGCAAAAAAAAAAAGAAGAAGAAGAAGAAAGAAAAGAAAGAAACAATTTGTGTTATTATTTTAGTTTGACAAAGAGGGAAGCAAAACATTTGCTTAATTTCCCACCCTCCCTGTCCTTACCAAGTCTTGGGCGTGCTCACATACTCTGAACTTATTTTATCCCTGTTCGCATCAGTATTTACATATCTAATGCCCTCATTTCTTTAGGATTCCACATGGCTCAGTGATTGTCTGAGAAAGTAATGTAAGTGGAAGAATTAAAAAATAAAATAACGTCTGAGTCACCCTAATGTTTATCGGAAGGTGCATTTGTATATTAATAGAGGTCTTCCGTTCTTTCATCATTTTAACAAAAGGAATAATGTTAGGAATAAAATTTCAAGTAATTGTGGTAGAAATGTATGTTTATTCTGTCTGCATGTATATTTCTGAGTAAAATATCAAAAGAAAGACCCAAACAGTTTAAGAGTAGAAAGATTTCTCTAGGGAATGTGAACTCAGTCAAGAAGTTTTAAAATAATTTGATTTACTGACATGTATAATTTTAATTTTCAAAATATGGACAAAGGAAAGTGAGTAAAATGAAAAAAAAATTAAAAGCCCCCAAACTCAAGTAAATAAAGAGATGATAATGCTAAACAAGATCAAAAGACAAAAGCACAAGAAGCCGACCCCTATGTGGCCCCCCATGTGGCTCAGTGGTTTTAGTGAAGTTCCACGGACTGAGAAGTCCAGGTTTGATTACCAGTCAGGGCACATGCCTGGGGTTTCGGGCGCAATCCCCAGTAGGGGGCGTGCAGGAGGCAGTTTCGCTCTCACATCAATGTTTCTATCTCTCTCCCCCTTCCTCTCTTTCTAAAAAAAAAATAATGAAAACATAAGAATACAATATTAGTAAGATATAAATATGGAAGTTTAGGAGTATAAAACATAAAAACTATGCATAATATTGGGAAATAACTTGAATCTTAACAAAATGAATAAGTTTCTACCGAATATTGATTACCTGTATTGACATAAACCAGAGGAGAAAAATAGTCAAAGAAGCATTAACAAAAATACTCTAAAACCAGCTCCTAACGTAAATACTAAGGATAAATGATGTAATAGGAGTGCTTTATCAAGAGACAGCACAAAAAGGACAACTTCAGACCAAATCTAGACATGCTAAAAGCTTAAAAGAAAATACTAGTAAATTCAAATTAATATTTTATAATTAATATCTAGTTTTAAAATGTAACAATATTAGGAACCATATACCTAAATCACCACATTAAGAATTCAAAATGTTGTATATGTATATTAAATATCACATCGTACGCCTTAAATATATACTTTTTACTTGTCAATCATACCTCAATAAAGTTGGAAAAAAAGATAATTTAAATAGTAAAACAATAAAATCTTAGTAGATTCAAAACAGCAAGTAACAAAATTCAACATCATATCTGACTTTAAAAGACAAATTCTAAGAAACAAAGAACATTGAGATTCTTCTTCCCTAACTATCTGATGCTAATAGCCAACTTCATATATCCACTGGATCACAGAAACTATTTTTCCAGATCAATATTTTGTGAGAACAATGAAAATAGGGTCTGGGGAACATTGGGTTATACAATGTCAAATAGGTTTATTTAGTACAAAACTACTGAGTACTTTTAATTAAGAAACCCATTGCTTATAATGATTTAAAAAATAAAAATAACTAAATATCCAGCAAACTATGGTATACTCATGCAATCAAATCATTTGATTTCATTATGTAAAGAAGTAAATATAGTTATATAGAACTATATTTAATACCATTAATAACCTGGTTATTAGTAACAGGGAAGGAGGAAAGGGAAGACTGGATAATATAGGCATGCCATTTATACAGCTTTGCCAGAAAGCTGCAAGTTAACATCCTCCATGTCTGTTCCCCACAAATTAAAGGTGGAAGGCACTGGACAAAAGCAGTTTAAATGCATGCCCAGTAAAGTGTAGATGATGTGGGAAGATGCTTACCTGTCAGTCACGCCTGGTACAGGTAATTTGCCAGAATAGGCATGGCCACTACAAGAGCATGAAATCTGAGATATATAATCCCCAGAACAAAGAAAGTTTTTGCTCTTACTGTCTCTCTTGCTGCCTGTGCTGGACTCCCAGCTTGCATGTCTCCTAGGGCCTGCATTCACTCATATGGCCCACAGCCATGTGGGACCCACACAATGGACTGAATCTAGCCTCCTGTTGCACTGGACCTGGCTACAATATGGAAAGGAAAGTCTGGACACTGACCCTGCCTCTAGCTCTGCTGAAACTCTAGCTGCCCCTTTTCCAGGACTGTGTTAGGAATCACACTTTATACCCAAGGCATGTAACTCCACACAAATAAAGTCTTTTACCACATCTCATTCCCCCAGGGGGCTTCTAAAAATGCTTATTTCAGCAGAACTTCAAGAACCTCACTTTTACTAGTGACAAGAAAATCTGGCCCAGTGATTTCTCCTATAAAATTTTCATCACAGAGATGGTTTTAAAAATACATGCTCCTAAATAGTATAAATAGCATTATATTTTATATAAGAAATACCGACAAATTGATATATATATACACATATATACATAAACATATATGTATATATACACATATACATATATATGTGTACATATACATATAAATACACACACACACACACACATAGAAACAAAGCTTAAGAAAGTCCATTAAGAAAATGTTAACACTTATTATTTCTGGTTGGTGATATTGCAGATGATTTTAAGAAATGTCTTGTGAGTCCATATTTTCTATGACAAACACCAATTCCTTCTATAAAATTAAAAAAAATATATAAAAATATCATCAAGCAAAAAATGTATAAATCTGAAAGACTTTAAAATACAAAATAAATAATATTAAATGTACAGTTTAAAATGCAATCTTCTTTCAAGAACTAAACTATATAATTTAAATTGATATACTGTTTTAGGAGTTCAAAGATATTATTTCCCATCAGCCACAATATTACAGTCAGTAACCGGAAAATAGAAATAAATTGTTTAATAAGAAAATTGCTATCACTTATACTCACTTTATATTCAAAACATTAAAAAGGTTACATTTAGAATGTTAATATTAAAGAGAAAACATCATGTTGAAAAGAATATTAATAGCTTGAGACACCAAAATACATTATCTTCTTACATTTAGAGATGTTGACACAAAAATCACTCTAACTAGAATTCAGGAGCAATACCCAAACAAAAGAACTATCATCATTGACATCCACCTTAAAATACTGACACTCATAGTTTTACTAAAAATATAATTGCCTCTTGATGTCTAATTTGCATATCACCTCAAGTATAGTATGTTTCAAGGAGGCTACAGTTTATGAGCATTGGGGTTTTCAACCGTCTGTGAAAAGAAGGGTAAGAAGCTCAGTGGCATACATAGAAAGGTCCTTGAAGCCTGTGGGCTTTTTCTCTGTCTTTATTTGCAGTTGCAGAAATAGAGCAAGCACACAGTGATTTAGAAAGATCTGCACTTGGCAAATTCTTAATTGTTCTCCTACCACTTGGAGAGATTCCTCCAGGAAAGAGTCATGGCAAAGCATTCACCCAGCTCTCTGGGTTGGAGTATAACTTATTCTGGAGGCCAAAAATAAATACATCAATAAATAAACCAAGCAGTTTTTTTTTTCAATTTAGTTAGAAAAAAAAAATTGATTTCTCTGTTTACACGAGTTTGAAAATCAATCCTCTGGTCTTTAAAGAGCTCAGGTGGCCTAAGAAGGTTGTAGTTGAAACAGAGAAATGCACTGTTCCTCTGTGCCCTGACCATCCATCCTCTAAAGACTGCCCCCAAATCAGAAAGGCAGCCACCTCCCCTCACTCTCTTCTCTTAGTCCTCTAGCATGAACAAAATTCTCTCCTAGCTTGTCTTCTAGATACCAGGATCCTCCCTTCAGGAGGGAAAATAACCTCATGGTACTTGCTGAAGAGGAATGTGTGATCTTTAGAAAGCTGATCCCCCAATAAAAGTAACTGTTTGTGTCAGAATCAGATTCCACAGTACTATTTATTTGCCAGGTGATGTATATATTTTGGGCTAATCTTAAAAAGCAACTGAGCAAGTTTAGCATTATAACTCCCATTTTATAGAAAATAACATGGCTCAGGGCAGTTAAGTAACTTGTCAAAAACTTCTCCGTTAATAAACATCGGAGTCAAAATGTGATCCTAGATCATGAATGTGTCTGACTTTTTTAACCCGTTCCCTCCTCTCTCCACCAACCTAACAAGGGGCCAACATCTTTCATGGAAAAGTGTTATAGATAAGACACCACGCAGAACTCAAGGGTTTATTAACCTCTCCCCTGTGAGAGTCTGATGTGATAGTCACAAAAGAGGAATGCAGAAACCAAATCTTACCTGGAGGTGGAGATCAAAGACAGCCAGTTCCTCTCAGCGTGGTCAGCAACAGGGTGGACCACACT